ACACTTGCTCGCTCCGACAAACGGACCGTGTACGGATCTCATCGCTCGTGCCGTTCGGGAGGTTGCAAAATGAGGAGGAGGAGAAGAGGCACTGCTCCTGCAGCAGCTTCCGAGAGTCTCGTCGCAACGGACTCGAGCGCCGCACGCTCGTCGTTTCCTTCAAAAGGCGCTCCCTGTTCCGCGGAAAACGCACGAAAAGTGCCGCCGGGGTCACGTGATCGCGACGCGAAAACAGTCGCGAGTGAACGGGCCTGAGAGAGAGAGAGAGAGAGGCCGAAAATATCGTCCACTCACCGTACAAACACCGATCGCCGCTCGCGCGATGAACTCGCAGGCGCGCGCGCGCGGGAACCGATAAGAAAAAAAGCGGCAGTGAGGGTGCGCGACGGGAACAGCACTTCGGGCGCGATCGCTTTAAGCGTAACGCGCTCTCGCACGTACGGTGGACTTTCGAGCCGTGTAAATATTGACGGTCCGGGAGACGTTCCGCGGACGCGAAATATGCCCGTCACGATAGGCGCGCGATTAACGTTCGACTGAAAGCGGCTCTCCCGAAAGCGCCGCGAGCGCTCGATCGATAGTGACGATTGACGATCGAGATAACGAACGTCGCGCGCGTTCTGCGAGAGGACGGAAGGTGCCAAAGACTTGCACGGGAGACTTCACCGGTGCAGTGCCATCTTCTATGAATGTGGCATTGAGGATTCGCAATTATTTCGGAATATTTGTGCACCGAAGGGAGGATTCGGATGATAAGTACTAGAATTTGATGAGTATTTGCTGACGATATATTTGCCCAGCAAGCGAGAAACATTAAATCAATCTTTTGAAACATTGATTTTACATGGATTTTATTAACGTTTTGACATAACATCTTATAAATGTTTTATAAATTTGTTTTATGGATTTTTAAACTGTTACTTGATCATATAATATTTCTGAATATTAAAATCATAGGAACATTATTTTCAATGTTTGGACCAAATATTGTTAACAATGACGTTGTATGCAACATTGAGAACTATATACTTGAAAACGTTACATATAAAACATCACTGTAATAACGCTGTGTTAATGATTTCTTGCTTACCGGATGATTATTGCAATCAAATATTTGGTCGGCAAATGTTCACTAAATTTTAATACTTATTACCAAATCCTTTTTTCAGTGTGCGTCATGACTTATGCTTCGGAGCATCGTTGCCGATTTACCAAACAATCGACAGTCACGTGTGTTGTGCGAATATTCGAAAATAATACGCCCGATTAGAAATTTTCGATGTTACTATTCCTAGGAGATGGAACTGCATTAAAATTGAGTCTTCCCGAGTCGAAATTTCAGTTCTACATAAAGTCTATTTAGTTCTACATTAAGTCTTCAAAGGTCTTCTATTTTGCTCTCTTTGTTGCTTCAAGTGGGAAGTTATTTCTGTTTTCTCCACTTGAAGATTCAATGTAGAACCAGATTTTCGACTCGGGTTCGCATTCGTACACAGAGAAAAAGATTTCATTGGATTTAACAAAACTTTCTTAACTGAAACAAATTTGCCTTTTTGATCAGAACAAACAAACAGATGTTTGATTTAACAAATGGAGTTTGGTTTTTCAAACATTAAATATGAGTCAAACAACATTTTTCTTTATTTTGTATTTTCACCTGAACATTACAATGATTGTTACGAGCGACAAATTATTTGAAAAAAGTAACACCATGTCAGAAAAATTTAAAAATCTCTTCGTTTCAGTGGAACGTTTAATGTATAACGAAATAAATTTTATTTGATTTTAAATATCATGTCCTTTAAATGATATTGTTTCTCCTATCAAACAGCATAGTTTAGTGCAACAACATCACATTCATTCAAAATATTTGCTATTAAATTACGTTGTTTATATTGAACAGACCCAAGTCAAACAAACACGTGTACCGAAAGAAACCTTTTTTTTCTCTGTGTACTCTTTCCGTACCTCTCGTTCGCGCTTTTTCTCGTGAATTTCTTGTCGAAGGGCAGAAAATAGGCGGAGATGCAGGTCCCTTACTCGACTGAACTCCGTGTGTCCGAATCCCCACGAGCGGACGAAGACGCAGATTGACCTTTCAGGTGTCGTGCCGTCGTCCGACCTTTATCGCGTTATCCGCACACGGGGAAATAACGATAACGCTGGTACATTGCCATGCACGTTGCTTGTTTCGCGTAACGCGGAATTTTTCAGTCAAAAGATGCGCTATTCGCGCACGCACGACGTGACGCGTCGAGATCCGTGTGACGACCGCGGGCGAGCGCGCGCGCTTTGCGAGCGTCACTGACTGCCCGGTTGGACGGTCGTGAGCCGACTGATAGGTATATGAATGAAGCGGCCGAGATTTCAGAGCCACGATGTTTGCAGGAAATTTAAAATCCTGCGTCGGCGGCGGTACAACACTCCTCGCGACCCCTCTTCGCGATTGATTCCCTGGATTCGCGTGGCGCGCGATAACGCGAAACCGCGACGTGAGACTCTCGGATTTTTCCTTCGCACTAATCGGAGGACGATTTTGTTGCGACACGACGGTTTCCCAGCAAACGACAAGTAACGGTAGCCGTTTTGTAATAAAGTAATGATCACATCAATGTTATTTAATTCCTAACTCGACAATGTAAACGCAATATAACATACGTTGTACATAAACTGAAGACGAAAAATACGTTCAAGTAAATATTTGTTGAGGAATATTGGTGTATATCTTATTTGGATTAAGTAAATTTTACTTGAGTGTAGCACTTTTTTTTTCTCTTTCAGTGCGCTACGTTCAAGTAATATTTACTTCATCCAATAATAAAATAAACCACTCTAATATTCCTCGGCAAATATTTGCTTGAACGAAGTAATTTTTTTTTCAGTGTAATAGTCACATTGTTAAGTTGAGGAAATTATAACATTGATGTAATGTTAAGGCCTTAACAGAGTGACTAACTTATCGCTTTAAGACAATGTTTTTATATCTTGAGATCGGGAGTACATAGAAAAACTTAACAGCAAGAGTAGCTCAAGCGGTAAGGAAATCGACCAACCACAGTCGATTATTCTTAAACCATAAGTAGAATAATCGATTGTGATCGGTCAATTTGTTTATCGCTTACGTTTTTCTACGATGCTCCCGACCCAAGTCTTTCTCTTAAGTAACACATAATGACTATCTTGTGTCTGAAGTTTCAAACTAAACAACCGTTCTGTTTGTAATTATTGACAAATCGCTGTGTAATAAAAAAAAAAAGATAAAGGAACAACGTAGATAAAAATTTGTGGCATAAAATATTGCTTTAGAATTACAATTCGCATTCTACCTTACTGTCACTTGGTTTGGCTGAGCTACTGTTCGAATATCTGTGAATGTGCTGTGTACGCAGGACGCGGTTTTCCAAAGGATTCGCAGGTTCCGTTTTGTTAAACCGTGCGCAAAAGCACTCGAAGCGAATACACGCAGCTGTTGTCGCTGCGTCGCGACTGAAATTGATCATATTTTAAATTGTATCCTTTCTCTCGAGAGAGAAAGGATAAAAAAGAGACAAAAGAAATACTAGTTTTTTTGTTCAACAAAAACAGCTCGTACTGCTGCCGATTTGACGTGATATTTCACTCACGAATTCACACGAGACAAGAGCAATGTGAGGTCTCACCGCTCACATAAGAGAATCACCGCGATGTTGACTCGCCCGGGGGAAATGCACGGAGGAAATTGGTACTCGACGTCGACGCGTTTGATTCGGCGAAAGCCGGCTCGCCGGCGTAGTAATTTCCAACGAATTCGTTTGAGTCAGACGTCGTGGGCGATGATCCCCCTCTCCTTTTTCCCCCATAACGTGATCTCGTTCGCGCACAATGAGCTTCCATAGGAATTGTAACACACCCGACTGTGAAAAAAAGACGATCGACCTTGACCACACCGGGCCTCACGAGCCATCGAAAGCTCGACGTGCGGTCCGCGGGGGGAGAACGGATTAGAGAGATTAATTAGTTTACCGTTGAGACAAGAGAGACACTAATCTCGCGTTTTTTGCACGCGGCGCGCCCGATGGGCCCACGATTCCCCTTGAGTTTGCATTACGTCCGGGCAATCGAATCAGAGATAAGTAGCGGGCAATCGCGCCAATATCCGATATCGATCGCCCTCTGTTCTTCTTTGTTGTACGGAGATATCGAAAGTAAAAATAAGATACGCTAAAACAAGAAGTACCTCGCGATAATCTAAACGGATATTCCGTAAAGAATCGTTCTCGCGTTCCGATAACCTGCATTGGCTCGAGGGTGTCACATGATTCGTATTACTACGCCATAAAAAAAAACAGTAATCTCTCTTCTGCGTATTATATGGGTCGCCGCTTCGCCTTATACAACCCGTATTCGTAAGAGATTTTCTTCATCGATCTATACATATTGCTTATCGCATGCCTGCCCATCGTATAACTTTTTTTTACGGTGCAATTAACGGCGTTGTGTGTTGCCTGTTGCGTTGATTAAACAAGCTTCTTACGAGAACCGCGCACCGTGCGAGCTTCCGTTTTAACGGCCCCGCCGGTTGGGCTTATCACGACGAGAGTAAAATATCCAGACGACCTTCGTCGAGCACGAAATTTCAGTGTACCCAACGAAATCGACCATTAGCTCGTGCAATCACGCGGAGAATATATATCGGGACATAAATATTTATCAACAACTTACGTTCTAAGCGAAGCGATCGCAGCAGAGACGCCCACAGGCGAGCAGGCGGACGAGGACGTAATAAAAATACTCGTTTTCGTGGATCCCCGTAGATTAGTCCGGCGCTCGCTTTTACGCAACGTTAGGATATAGGAGTTTTATATATATATATATATATATATATGGAGTTTTATATATATATATATATATATATACGCTAAGCACCGATGGAATGTCATTGAGACACAACGGACTGGAAGGCTGGAGAGGATCATCGGTATCATTTGTTAACTGAAAAGATAGAGAGAGAGAGAGAGAGAAAAAGTGTATAAACATCATATATTATGTATCATCAATAAATTTATAATAAAGCATCATGTAACAAAGGCTCAACGCATCGTGAGAACACATCCACCAAACAGTTTTTACGAAGAAGAAGGCCAGCTGCATTAATACTGGTATCATTAGTCTAATAACTGTGCGCGCTTCGATAATAACTAAGTCTCAAAAATATATGTGTGGCATGTTCTTTGCTCCCAATTTACGCGGACAATATACGTGTACATATTTAAAAAATGTGACGATAATCATCCACAATCACGTTTGTTCCAGAGCTTTACAACCCGTTTACATTCTTCACCATATACGACTTATCCTAATAAGAGACATTGTTAATCGGAACAACACCTTGTCCTCCACCTTTGGTACAATGCTATCATTTCGGCGCAGTGTTGTCAGAAGAATCCGATGATGAACTCGGTACAACTGAAGCTATTACAAATGTTGGAGAAAAACAGCAGGTAACTATGTGTAGTCAAAGGCATGAGGTAACAATAGATAAGTCAGCTTGTACAGCGTACTCACCAATAATGATGATCAAGATGACAACGCATATGATGCCGATGATGATCATCATTTTGAGATTTTTCCACCAGTACTTCCTCTTTAATTTGCCGGCATGCTGCTCGAATTGCGTGGCGCCTTGCTGCAAAGCATCCGCCCGGTTCTCCAGCTCGGATAGCTTCTGATCTCGCTCCAGTACCTTTTCAACGTTAACCTTCATTATACCCACAACCTCGTCTACCGTGGCTTGTGTTTGCTGCAACTTTTTGCTCGCTCCCGCCTGTTGCGCGTTGCGTGGCCCACCCGTTTCTCCTTCTCCTGATATACCGCCGCCTTCCATAATCCTGAAACAAGGAATCGAGAAACAAAAGCTGTTAACCCGATTTTGCTGTGATCTTAGTTGCCTCGTCGAATGTCTCAGTTTGTAACGACTGCGTGCTCTCGACCACGAGGCAAATCGAACAAAGTACGAAACGTAACGTAGTACAACGATTCGTCGAAGAATCGCGTCAACGGGAAAATAATGAGTACACACCCATAACCTCAAAAATCACACATATGTTACCAGAGTGTTATTTGCGCGTTCGGCCGATCGACAAACACGCATCGCGTTCTTTTATTAATAAATATAGAGATCACGAGTGTACACGAATAAAACCGCGAAAAAATACGATTCTCAAGGAATGATGAGACCATCGTTTAGTCATCAGTACAACATGCCGAACGACATTACCGTTATTATTTGAATACCGTGCATCTTATCACGCTCGTTTCACTCACCCACGAATATCAAACGTAGAAACAAATCAACGACACGAACAAAATCCGCAGGAACAATGACAACTTAACGGGGATGACGTCTACAGCCTATGTACAATGACAACAGTGAATGACGCGGATGAATATGGCGATCAATGGTGATAAAAATGACGTCATGAATATTATAAAAATGTGTTTCTCCGGAAACAAAAGAGGTCGGAAGGGAAAGTTAAACGAGTGTTACTTTTGACCTAACAATTAACATAGACTCGTAATACAACTTGTTAATTAATTATTGATTAATTCAAATTCTTCTTATACGATTGATGACAGCTTGGTACGTTGGACGCCTCGCTGTGCCATCTAAACGCGCGAATCGGAATTAATTGATCGGTAAAGACGGTAACTCTCTTCCCCTCACTAATTCAATCGCGAAGGATCGTTTTTTTTTTCACAAAATGGAGCGGCAAGATGCGATACCAACATATTGCATTGCATTATAACGTAATTATAAGATATCAAAATTTAACTGAGCACGAAACGTAACTACCGGGAAAAAATATTTCAGTAAGCGAGAAGTATCAAATCGATCTTTCGAAACATTGACATTATGCAGATTTTATAAACATTTCGACACAATATTTTATACATATTTTCAAATTTGTTATTTGACGATATAATATTCCTGAATATTAAAATCATCAGTTTATAGAAACATTATTTTTAATGTTTGGATCAAACGTTGTCAATAATGACGTTGTATGTTACAACATTAAGAACTACATATTTGAAAACGTCACATGTTACAAAATATTATTATGTAATATCGTAATTAACGATTTCTTGCCTACCGAATTATTTGTTACGCTTTATAATAATACTTCAAGCATTTCACCGCGCCATTTCTGTATAATTACACGACCCAACGCGATACTCTCAATCGAAAGAACGCAGGAAGAAGGAAACAAGGGAAAGTAAACTGCCAATAATCGAGCAATGTCGCAGCTGAAATTCCGCCCAAAAGTCCCGCACCGAAATTCCACTCTGTCAGTTGGGAATAATCGTGTGCGTTACGGACGTCCATTTTTCGTCGGCCGGAGAACCGAGCGAGACAATTTTGAGAATGTATGACGCGCAACGTCCGCGTTGTAACGAGAAAATACGCACGAAAAACTATTTTGGAAACATAATGGACAACACTTACCGCTACCAGCTGCCATAATCGAGCGTAGGAGCAGTAACGCAGGAGCATCCTCGACACCGCGCGGTTCACTGTGACACCGATGCGACTCGCGACGAAAATCGCGACGGGGGCATAAATAATACATCTTGCGGTTGCTCGTGCGCGTATTAGCACCGCGTCGCCAGGACCGTACGCTCGGGTCGGATCGCTTCGACCTATCGAAAACTGAAGGCCGCGGTTCTGCGCGCATCTCGCACACGGCGCTATCAAAGGCGAACGTTCATTTTCATATCTACTTCTCCATTATTCACGACCCATATAAATTGACCTATGATGAAAATATACTTCGCGTGGCATGAAGAACAGCCGACGATTCGGCTGAAATTGTATCTCGAGTGGCCGCCAATTCACATGACTCGGCACGTTCGAACGGCAGGCACACGTCCAAGAATTGGCGCGAGTTTCCCGCACGTCTCGTCGAGCTCTACGATACGATACTTCTCGCGATTCTGGAATTAAGATCGCTCGCAAAAAGCCAAAAAGACCCGATTGTGTGAGTAGACCTCGTTGTGGAAATGAGAGCCTACCTGCGACGACTGCGTTGTGCAGCCACGTTCGTCGAAGGACGTTCATCTCCGAGTCCTCTTTCGCGTGCAGGAAGCAGACGACAAGCAGCGAGCGGAACGAACGTCAACGTCGAGTTGCGGAAAAATTTGAGGTTATATCAGCGAGCTAGCGCGAAACAAGGCCGCGACTCGGCGACGCGAGATAACGGCGCGAGGAAGCGGAGGTGGCGCCGCGCAGAGGCGGATACGTTCCTGGGGCTCTCTCTTTCTCTCTCGTGCAGGGTGTGTTCGCGCATAAGGGTTGCGAGGAAGCGACGTTTTATTGACTGACGGCCGGGCGTGCGCAGTCGGCGGAGTGGCGCGGGTGCGTCGACCCTGCCGCGCTTCGAGAGATCGACTTGCGGACAGTCGCGCCGCGCTTTCGAAAGCGCGCCCGTCGTGATCGTGCATCGACGGTTCGCGCGCGAAATGCCGGCCGATCGCGACGTTCAGCGTCGCCCGTGGGACACGGATCGGCCGGGGACGTGATCGCCGACGTAAATCGCGGACGGGACTGCCTCGAGAGCGGGAATCAAAGTTCGAGGGCGGCGTTCGAGATATATCGCGCCGCCACGGGGGCGCGCGCGCGCGCCAGCAATATCGCGCGGCGGCGTGCCGCTGGAAATTTTATCAATACCTTCGGCCATCTAGTCTCGCTGGCAGTCGCTCGCGAAAAGTACGCGCCGAACGCCCGACGGTTTGCACGGCCGCCGACCGACATCAAATCGACGAGGATAGCCGGAACGGAAAGAGCCCGAGGCGATCGACTACGAGCATGTGAGTACACACGTGATAATTACCCCGCGTTCGCCAGCAGGACGGCTAGCGCGACGAGACCGAGCCGTCGTCCGTCGAGGCGAGGACGGCCGATCCGCGCTCCCTTGACGCGACGATCGTGAACATTCTCTTTCGACGATGTAGTTGATTTGTCGTAAGTCGCTTTTCTCGTCGAAACGCAGGCAACTGTGCGAGACGTGGACGACGATGACGTCGTAATCGGGATAATCGCGAGGTAAAGCCTCGAAGTTACAACGGGAAATGATTTTCCCGACACCCCTCGTCGCGCTCGCCGTGGAACGCGCGTTCGCTCGGAAAGCGCGACGACGAAGTCGCGAACGAGGCGCACGGAGACACCAGCCGTACCTCCGGTTTTCGCTCGACGCGCGGCGACACACAAATGGCGATTGTGTGTCTCGTTAGAGCTGCTGCATCGGGAGTGAATTTCGCGGCGAGGCGCCGCGCTGGCAACGTCAACCGCCGCGTCGAGGAGGCTCCGCCTGAGAACGGTCGCGTATTTTTTTTCCTCCTCCTTGGCTCCTCGTCGAGGAGCCTTCCGTTAGCGGCGTATCGAGCGCGCTACGTTTAACGTGACGAGCGATTACGGTAGATCGAAGACTATAACTCGCGCCCGAAGAGCGTGTGTACGTGTGTGTAGGTGTGTGTGTGTGTGCACCTGCCGTGTGTGTATTTCCTTCTTTCTTCTCCTCGCCCGCGCGTGATTTACGTGCGAGGAGTTTTGCGCGCGCGACAGAAAGCGAGCGAACGAGACGGCGATCGATGAATTTTGCGGATGTGAATGCGCAAAACCATCGCCGGCCGTTCGAGAAGGCCGCTCGAGAAACGGGGATCGGAACGACGCGGCGTCGTTGTAAGATGCGTTTTAAGACGCAATTGCCGCGAGGGACCCTTGTCGCCAATCGATCCTCTCGCACCACCCGTCCGCGGCACACACACACACACACACATACACAGCGGAATTTCCGATAGAATGCAACGGAGCTCAGAGCCGGCGCACCCCGACTCGCCGATTCCGCGTCGGGAGAGATAAATCGAGGAAGCGGAAGGCCTCCCTTGGACGACGTTGCATCGGGCAGGCTCGACATGTCGCGACCTTCTTTTCGGAGATGTGATGTATCATAATGAAAAAGCCACGATCTCCCCGGAAAGTCTCCACGATATACGCGTGCCTCGCAGACGCATAAATTTCTCCCGCTGCGATCAGAGGGGGAAATTGATCTCTGATAATTACACAGCTGAAGGTCAACAGTGGAAGTTCATTTATCTCCCTCGTTTGTTTGTCTGTTGACGTTGTTTATCGTTACCGCGGGAAATAACGAGGGAGAAGACCGAACGCTCCGTAGCGACTGAATCGCGACGTAGGATCGTCGCAGACCGATTAATCTCACTTTCTACATAACTCAATGTGGTTTTTTCAGCTGCGTGCCGCGCGCGCATGTGTGCTTCCTTCTCACCACCAGTTTTTTTCACACTCACTCGTCGTCTGATAAATTCGATTGCGCACGTCGCACCCGTCGATCTGTCGAAATGGAAATAATACACTTGCGATCGTTATCGCGGTCAGATCGCCTCGCGATCTTCGACGATTTCGACAGGGATGCGGAACAATTTAAGCGCCGCTCGCTCGTCGCAGCAGCAGCCATACTTGGCCGGCAAGTCTGGACCTCGACCTTTCCGGAGGACGCACGATCGTCGCCGAGTGTCTGGCATTTGCAGAAACTTTAAACGTCTTTTGCATGTTAGACATTTCTAACCGCAATTCCGTAAATCCGTGAGAAAATTGACCCAATCAATGATTGATTATTCTCCTTGCGGTGGAAGAACGATCGACCGTGTTCGGTCGAGTTTCTTATGGACTCACGGTTACTGACGAAAAATTTCTTACGTGCAAAGGCACTTAACCTGAGAATAATCACCTGGTGTTATTTGGATTCCGTTAAAAGTCACTGATATTAACAAAATATCGATTGCTTTACGATTTAATATTATTTAGAGATACCATAAATATAGATTTACTCGCTTTTTGAAAGAAAAAAAAGGAGGATAAATTGAAGAAATATTTAAAAAACGGAATAAGCATATCGAGTGTTCGAGTGACGGTTCATGTAAAGGAAAATAAATGTGGCTATTCCCGGGTTAATCGTGGGGGGGATCAGAGCGGATATCGAGCGCGATATCGGTCGCGCGATTCCTCCGATACTCGAGCGCGAAAATTAGCGCAGCCGGTGCGCTCTGCCGCGCGCATTTCGCCCGCGCTCGACGCGAAAGCCTAATTGCGGACGCGTACGTACAGGCAGGATCAATCGCGAGACGCGGCGCGCCGCTACATGTCAGCTCGCAGTTTCTATATTTAGATAATCAATGATGAGCACATTTACGGCAATGTTCTACGGCTTTGCTAGATGGACGGAAAGGTTCGCGTCGCGCACACGTCGTGTGTCGTCCGTATCGGCGAACGATGAACCATCGTCGGATCGTTCGCATATCGATCGAGGAAAACGACGGAGTTCCGCGGCGATATTTGTACGACACACGTATCGTGCCGGTCGCTTTTGTAATATTGGAGTCTTCACGTTATCCCTTGTTACATTTTCCTATTTTGTATGTTTTATTTCATCGTCAATTCGATGGTCTGAGTCTCCTAACCCCACCGGCCCGATCAGAATAATATTTCGTCTTAACTATATTTAAGATTCGAATAATATTCAAATAGTATTAATTTTTTTATTATAAACTTTTGTAACTTCCATTATTCTGTGTATCAACGGGTTTTTCTGCCTTTCCCGCTTTTAATAAATGGGAATAATAATAACAATAACATTTATGATGAATATCGCATAGTTATTTGCCGGGGCACTTCGGCGATCCTCAACAATTTCGCCGGAGCAGCCGTGCTTGATCGACAAAATGTCCGGAAAGTTGGAGCTGAAAGGCCCGGCGAAGCGATCCGTCGACGTCATGACGTCGTCTGACGCATTTCTTAATTCGATAAGTACGCGAGGAGAAACCCGGATCTTGCAAACGCGCGGTTTTCGCGGACACGGTGATGCAAATCTCGCAAGAATTCATCCCGCCCCGACGCCAGTCGTCCACCAATCCAATAACGAGGGATAAAAAAGAAAGCAGCGGAATCCGTGTATTAATCTCTTTATGTAACCCATTTTGCGTCATGTGAAGCTTGCTGATCGAATATCTCTCTTTCTCTCTCTCTCTTTCTCTCTCTTTCTCTCTCTTTCTCCCTCTCGGCCCGTCACGCAAAGTCGAAGCGATCGCAGGCGCCTCGGACGACAGCCACGTTGCTGTACGGCGAAATTCTCCGGTCGTGTGGAAAAAGCGTCTCTGCGAATATCAAATACTCATCTCGAGCGCGATAGTGCCGCATAGCGACGGCGGGAATTTTCGGAGTCGCGGCAAAGAGACGACACCCCAACCGATGATGACTAATCGAAACGGCCACGCGAAATCACGCTGAGTAACGATACGTGTATACACTTTCGAAGTTTCAAAACGAAAATACCCGTTCGTTTCCACCTCCCCATTTTTCCGCAGATTTTCTCCCTTCCTCATACCTATCTTCTTCACGGAAGCAAGAAAATGCGGCATTTTTAATTTGCATGAATTTTTTTAAACGAACTTTCGCACCCTTGGGACGGAAATCGAGAAAAAAGCCGAGGGAAAGTTAGGAAAAACAGTTTTTTATCTCAAACTTTGAGACTAGAGGCAGGTAGATATCGACACCGGGAAAATTCGAGGGGGGGGGGGCGCTGCCTGAAATGTCACGGCGAATACGGCCGAATATCCCAGCCGACGAAGTCGCGCATGACATTTCAATGGAAACGATACGGGGTGGCACGTATACGACTCTATGTTTAACTATTCCGCTGGCGGTGTTCGAATAGTCGATCGATCGTTTGTTGCCACTCGGTCGTTCGATTGTCTGCCAAAAATAAAACCCGCAAGAGCCACCGCGAGACCGCCTTTTAACACGTCGCGCCGTCGCGCGTTTCCCGTAAATCGCGGATACCGCGATAACAACGCACGGCACGTGCCTTCTCGTAATTTTCGCGATTTACGTCACGTGCGTGTGTATATGTGTGCGCGCGCGTGCGGCCTACGACACGTAGACGCGTGTAATCGCGCATAATCGCGAATTAATTTTTCTTTTGCGAAGTGAGCCGTGCGAGATGAACGTTTCGCAATCACCGAGCGGATTTTCCCCTCCGTATTCCGAAATTCTCGAAACTCCGTCGGATTCCGAAAATCTTTTCAGTTTTTGAAAAGATCAGAAGCTCCGCTTTATCCGCCCGTTGATCCCCGGCGTAATTAATTTCAAGAGGGGAGGGGGGGCTGATTTCGTGAGGAGCGCGAATATCACGCCAAGTGAGTCGAGGCGCTTATGGGAAAACAAGTGGAGAACTTAATTGCCGGCACATAAGTTGGCAGGTAATTAAATTGATATTGCACTCGAGGCAGGTTCGGGAAAAAATCTCTCTTCATCTCTTTCTCTTTCTCTCTCTTGCTCTCTATCTTTGCGTTAAAGGAAGATTCGTACTGGAAATCCCATAAAAAAAGAACTACAGCAGAACAATCGGTATGCACGGTGTATATCCTCAAACCGTACAGAGACTTTCCTGAAAATAAAAGTGTTGCGGTTTTCCTAGAAACCCATTCAGTTATGTGTCTAGTATTAATGCATTCTCATTAGTTGTAACAATACCGCATAGGAAATGGGACTTAATAGAGCTTTATTTAAAGATACTTCTAAGGCAAAACTGCTCATTTTATGAGCAGCTTGCTTATTAATCAGTTGAATAGCTTCTTTGTCCATTTATTGTTCTGTCTTCGCTCAGTAAGTGAATTCAGATTTTACGCATATTTTGCGTGCAGTAACTGCGGGAAAAGCGTTACTCCTTAATGAGGGTTCCAAGTAGTTTCACTGCTCGGTTATTCAACAGAAGTTAATATAACTGTTTAGTAACTGTTCGAGAAATGCATAAAATTTCCAGACGGATATAGTAGTGAAAATTACTACAAAATTTTGTGACGGACCATGACGGAGTTATAATTGAAATTATTATGTGTGTTGTAATCTTCAACGATGTATAGTATAAAGTGCATCACATCAGAGATTAGGTTGCACACACTGCAAATTTAAATGTGTTATTTTAGCTGAGACTTTTCTTACACGTTTCTTGCCGTTTTAAATCACGTCATTTGACATTGTCAACTTATGTTAACGATTGTTAACTTATAATTTAACACGATCGAATGTTTCAAATGAAGTAACCCAAAACGGCGGAAAATATGTGAAAAGAGCTTCAATCAAACATATCTTTTTTAGACGTTTATTCGTACAAAAATAACACATTTCGATTCGCACAGCGTATATAACAATATCAGTTATAATTCCGGTATGGTCCAACGTTGCAAAACGTCGTGGTAAATTTTGCTACGATATTTTCCCCGTGTTTCTTTCGTTCGATTAAAAATCCAAGCGTGGAACATGAGCGAGATATCGACACTCCTGCTAACTTTTCACAACAGGTAACTGCGACTGTTAGGGGGGAGGATGCTCGTATGTCGCGTCGGATGCTTGCTCGTGCACATACGTGTATTCCGGATTACGATTCCTCCGAGTCGACATTACCGGGTCGACCTTTCGCCTCGACGCGATCACCTTGCATCATATATCGTCAGCGTTGATGTATCGCGAAGACGAGGATCTTCCACGACGCGTCTGAATGCCGTCGTATTCCGTCGTAACGGGCGGAACCGTCGACGCGGTTAATACGCGTATCGCGTATATACTACGTTTTCGCCATTGAGTAGCGCGAACGGTGCGAAATTGTGTCATGAACTTTGCTCTTTCGCGATACTCTCTCCACCCACGGTTCGATATGGGGTAAAAGCAGCAACCACCATGGTGCAGGAACGTACCGTAATTCCCGGCAACGCGACAACCACTGTCCCTGTTTATTTGATCTTTTTCGAGAGGTCCGCGGAATATAAACTCATTCGCGCGCTCTCCGGAAAATACTAATAAATCCTGCAGCAGCGCGCACAAGCCGTAACGATATGCAGCAGCAGTGCTCGCCGTATAAATACGTGATTCTCAGCTCATTTAACGTGATTTCCAAAGCATTTTCCAACGAGAAGCGTCGCGGAGCACGCCCGACGACACGTATATCGCTCGTGTCCTTCAACTCTCTTCCGTCTTACGTTCGGCCGTGCCGAGGAACACGCGCCAATTATGCATTTCGGGGGATGCGGCTGCATCGACCATGACCTTACCATGTCGTCGTCAAGGTTAAGGCTATTGCAGTCGCGTCCCCGAAAATGTGCATAATTACCTGCGACGCGTTTAATGCGACGAACGATGTTGTCGAATGTACGTCAAGCTCGGCGCGACATTTTCCGCTTCTTCGTGTGACTTGAAATCATGGCTTTTCTTATTCCAGGGCTTCCGAGGGTGGTCTAGCACCGGATGCGGCTGCAGGTGCGGGCGCAGGTACCGATGGCATCGTCGGCGGCCCTCGAACTCCACAGCAGATCGCTTCGCAGAAGCGGCTGCAGGCGACGCAAGCGCAAGTCGACGAGGTCGTCGACATCATGAAGACGAACGTCGAGAAGGTCCTCGAGCGCGATCAGAAGCTCTCCGAGCTCGACGACCGAGCAGGTGAGCACCCCCGCTGACGAGGACTCGGCCTACATCGCGGGCACAACAGCGTCCGAAGTCGCCGCGTGCGAGGATCCATTTATCCGATCTCCGCCCGTAAATTCGAGCTCGTAATTCGCCCGGCATTATTCGGATTTTATCTCGTGGGTTAATCGCTCCGTTACATCGAGAGAGAGAGAGAGAGAGAGAGAGAGAGGAAGGTGGTTAATCCCGCTAAAATTCTCGGCGCTAATCAGATTTTCTCGGTGCTCCAACGAAGAAGCGACAGTAGCGATACGTATATAAAATTATTATCATTAACGGTACATCGACACTCACTGCGAAAATTATCTTCCCGACGGTGACAGTTTTTATATTATGTAATTGCAAATATCACTTTTTCTCTGTGTACGTGTGTATTCATTCGCCGTCTATGTATTCGTCGAGTATCCTATACAAGGTGTCCGATAATTCTTAGCTTGCGCGCAGATAAAACGGGCTGAATTGAAGAGTCCTCTATCATTTTTCAAATAACCACGCAAGATTTCGAGTTACTAATCATTGAAAATAGCTTTGCACAGAAACTTCTTGAATTAATAACTCGAAAATTCGCATGTTATTTGCGAAATGTTACAGGAAGTTCTTGTCCAGAGTGGCCTAACCTATAAATATATGATAGCTATCGCACCTAGAGACAAGTTCAAGGTTCGATATATCAATGCCTGTCGCTAGGTACAACAGCTGTCATATATTTGTAGGTTAGACCACTCTAAGCAAAAAAAAATCCTCTATGTCTGTTTGCAAAATGGCAGGGGACCTTCCGCTCAGTTTAACCCATTCCACCTGCGCACACAAGTGGCATACCAAGAACTACGTCGAACACCTTGTATATGCGCTATCTTCGTGCTATTTACCGCTTTCGCAACAGACGTTCGCACTGTTTACCGATTAACGAACGCCAAGCGATTAATTAACGTCCGAAACTCGCGATTCAAACGTGTCCGGGACTAATTCGCGCGCCTTTCTTCAAAAACATGCGTGCCCACGGTTAGACGGAGGATTTAAAAAAGTGTAGTAGTCATGGACGCTCGTATTTATATACGTTCCACGTTATATCCACGATTTATATTGCGTGCGTCACGCTGTTAAATCATTATTCACGTCCGATATGCTTACTCGGCGAGTAGGAGGACTGGATGGAAAATATGTCCGCGCGAAGAATACACTTTCCATTCATCGCAACGCGGCAATAAAGTAGTTCGACCCTGCGCGTCTGACTGCACGTTGATATCGATTACTGTGACACGCTCGAATCGATGCCACATTACAACGTGGCATCGTGTGTGTGTGTATACATTTATACATATGTGCGTGTATATGTACGTACGCGAGATCTTCCCTTACACACAGTCCGCCCATGCACACGCAACATTTATCATTGCATGCGCGGCTAAATATACACTTCGAATTTTGCACCAACGCATTACCGGGCAAATGCGTTTCTTGCGCGATGTTTGCCGAGCGAAGCTACGCGTCACCGTGTCCGAGGCAAAGCCACGATGCTGACGCATATCGCACAATTGACTTTTGCAGATGCACTCCAGCAAGGGGCATCGCAATTCGAACAGCAAGCAGGGAAACTAAAGAGAAAGTTTTGGCTACAAAACCTAAAGGTGAGTCTTGCGCTTCGTTGTTACACGGGTATTTTTCAGATTTATATTCACGGTGAAAATTTGGCAAACGCTGGACCGTGCCGGGATTACGGCTGAAATTATTATGTGTTTTGTAATCTTTAATGATGCGCCTCAGTGAAGTACATCACTGAAGATTACAACATGCGTCATAATTTCAGTTGTAATTCGGGTCCAACGCGGCAAAATTCTGTGATAACTCTTATTACAACTTCCCCTCCGTGATATTCATAAAACGGAATACGCATTTCACAAACTACGCCATGTTTCGTATGCACGAATAATTACGACGATAATTATTTTAATAATAATAATAATAGTAACTCCGCTAATTATCGTTCGTCTTTCTCTCTTTCTAACAGATGATGATTATCATGGGTGTCATCGGTTTAATCGTTTTGGCCATTATTGTCGGTAAGTGTTTCACTGACACGTTGTTTAACGCAGCTGTCAACAATGCCACTACTGTAACTGTCTCAATGTTTTGTAACCATTTTGTTGATGTATATATCTCTCGTTCCAATTTCGTGCGACTAATTCAGAGTTATATCTTGTCTTAACGATCGCGTTCGCCACGACTCCGTGGCTGGCATCGCGTCGATCGCTGCCATCGTGTGGTTTGACCAACCGGACGTCGCGTTTCGAGAGTTTATTATTTAGATAAAGTCGTGGAGAAATTAATGTTCACTGTCGAGCTTGCAATCGATACACACGGGCACAAGTACCGTGTGGTTACTTCCACGACGATCAGGTGAACGTCCGTTTAAAGCCGCTGATAGCTTTTCGCGATATATTCACTGTTTGGCCTGAATCGGTCGTGCCTGGCTATACACTGTCTCTCTGTATCCCTCGTGCTAAGGAGACATCTACCGTGCCGGACGATTGTGCTTGCACGATGCGAGGAACGACGATATGTGACGATGAGCGATGTTTGTTTTTGTTTTTGTTTGTCCGCGAGTTTGTTCGCACGGCTCTCGAGGATTCGTACAGGAATCCCTCGGGAATGATACCTCTCCTCGACAGACCCAGTGTCGAAACCAACTGTTTACCGTGCTTTGCTTTGAGTGACGACGACGACCATCTGGATGCTCGCGAGAAATCCTCTCGAAAGTTTCCGCTTGCGTTTTACTGGGATTCTCGTCTCGCTTCGAGTTTATGAACGATGAGAAATTCACTTGAGCAAGAGTAATCCATTTTTTTTTCGTGCTTTACATATGAAAGTGTCGCTCGCGTTTACAACGGTGCGTCTTTATCGCGCGAGACGCGCGAAAAAGACACCTTGTGTGCGATCCGCTTGAAAAAAAAAAAAAGAAAAGTAGCCGTCACCCTACTCACTCCCTCTGTCCATTCATCATCTAACGTGTGAAATGTAAATGTATTTCTCTTTTCTCATCTAGCGAACTTCATGTAGGCGCGCTGATTCGTGGAAGAGATTTGTGTGTGAGTGAGTCTGAAGGTAGAAAGCAAGACAATTGCGACATTGCGTATCATTGTTGTTTCTCACTCCCCCGTTTGAATCGCCCCTGCGTCTTGTCTTTTTTTCTTTTCCTTTTTTTCTTCTTCCTACATGTAGAATGTGTACAGAACCCGTTCAACTCTCCCGAGCTCTCGTTGTTAACCGTCCGACACTGAGATAATCCTACTCCTAAAGCTTTCGACATTTTCCGTAATTCTGATGATGTCACGAATAATACCAAAGTGCTTCCAGTTTTATAAGGAATTAAACGAGCACGAGTTTCATATTTGCAAACGTAAATTCACAACCGTGTTGCGGTGAAAATGTCATGTTTTGTTACTGTAACAATGTAACGTGATAATATAATAATATTATTGTATAATAATATTATTATATATTTCTCGTTGAACTCGCTCGAAAGCACACGAGGGAAATTCATGCATTTATAAAACTGGCACTTCTAGTCGATGTTACGTTGTCTGCCTGTGATAGGTATACTTGCTGGTATTTCTGCTGCTATATACATGTATCCCGTACATACAAGAACCCGATTGCACTCCATCTCCTCCTAGAATCGTTGCATATTTATGAGCCGCCGATTTAATTGGGAAACGCTCCCAATTAAGAATCACTGTTGATTGACGATACAGCGCGGCGCGCTTCATAAATTTTCGACGACGTTCCCTGTTATTCCTGGATTCTTCTCCACGCTGAAACAACGCTGAAGGCGTTGCGAAATCAACGAAATCAACGGAGTACGAGCGATCCGCGAATGTCGTCCGTCTTTCTCGCTAGGAGGAATTTTGTCGAATGTTCTGTCCGTTGACGTTTCTGGCGCGTCTCTTTAAAGTCCCCAGGACGGAAAGAAGTGACGTGTAACGATATTTTCATAACTTTAGCGTCAAATTTGTCCCATTTCTCGCGTTCCATCTATATAGATGTGTCGCGCGCGAGTCCACCTTACGAAACGTAATCGTCGGTTCCCCCTCAAAGTGAAACCGACGAACGAACAGAAGATGCTTATTTCTAAGATGGAATGTTCTCCGCCACCAATACCACCATACCTTGTCCTCTGTGTGTGTTGTGTGTGTGTGTGTGTGTGTGTGTGTGTGTGTATTATTACTACTGTAATCGTTGTTATCTGTGTCTATCTGTACTTTCGGTGGTATCCTCTTTCTGAAGTTGGTCCCAGGCAGTGATTTTCAATTTTCTCTGGTGGTCGATTACATAATGAAAAGCCGGAAAAAAAATATATATATACATATATATAAACAGAAAAAGAGAAAAAGCGAAAAGAGTGTGTCAATGCGTGAAACAGGAGACTTGTGGCTCGCGAATCGTGGAAGAGAAACAAAGAAACGATAATAAAATACCACCAGGAAATGAAAACACAAGAAAAGAAAAACATCACAACGACAAACGACAACATCAACAACAACAAGCACAAAATCGCTCCTACCGACAACAATAAGAATTTTTACCCAACAACAACAACTACAACTACAACAACAAAAAATGGTCTCTCAAAGTTTTTGTTTAACCCTATTCTACTCTTCAGTACGGTAAGCTATGATTTTTATTGTTGCACTTGATACAAAAACTTTCTCATCTTTTTCTCTCTTCTTCCGCCGAAGTGCAATTTGAATCTTCTTCGAGCACATTATCTTATTATTTGACCTTTTCTATCTCTAGGTATACGAAAGACTCCGCTTAAAAATCTACAATATCGCATCACGTATTGTAGAACATATTTTTTTTCCTTATTTGTATAACTTTCTCCGGTAAACTCGCACTTCTCGCAATTAGACGCGAAGGTAACGCAAATGTTTTGATTTTATTAAAAGTAAAAATCTCTATGCGGACTCTACGACTTTTGGTTGACTTGATTTCATGACACTTAGAGATCTTATCATCTTAGTCTATTTATATTTTGTTTCGCGCGTAACATATGCAGACGTGCTCATTCTATACTTGCATGTTTCTCTCCTACTCTTCATCCTTCGTTTTTTCATTCTTTCTTTTTCTTTCTCCTTCTCAAGTGACATTCTTCGAGCTGATACAGCCCGAAACTCATACACCGTGTTCTCGGGAAATGCGTATCTCGCGATATGCATTTCGATGTCGTAGGGACGAATCGACTTAACTCGTTTTCTTCTGGGACGATCTTCGCGCTTCGTGCTTGACCTCTTATTGCGGAGCATGTGCGATCGATTTTAATTATTTCCCTCGATGGAAAAACCGCCGGCGTCGTTGCTGTCGTTGCATGGCTTGTGCATTATGTGGAATGCGTCAAAACTGCTTCTAAACGCGGCAGAACGAAAGAAAGAGGAGGGAAGAGGCGAAACGTCTCGTCAGCCAGAATTTCCAACGAGGCCCGCTCTAACAATAATAACATCCGCGTATTTTACATTCGCGTTGCTGCGTTCGAACTGCATTCGAACTCCTCCCGAAAGAAAAACGGAACTTCTGGCGAAGAGCGAAATTTCATCCCTGCCGTTAATTAATATCGCAGGGGGGAAATTCGTGCGCACCGAATTTCACGTGTATATGTGTGTGTGTATGTGTGCGCCGAGTATGCCTTCGTACACACGCATATAAGCTGACCTACTTGCATGCAATTCTATCTAACCTCGGCTAAACGGGCTGTCGTGTAGCTTCGGTGCGACGAACTCTGCCGATGATCTCAGCTTGCAAAACGGCACGTCGTGGACAGCAACAACGATGCGAATAACGTTACGACTACGTACAATAATCGATCGGCGATGTCTCGCGGTTCTGAAAAGGTGGAAAAAGCGCGAGGATGTTTCGCCAGGGAATCGCGCACGTTCGCACCTTTATATCGACGTTCGCTTCATACAGACGCGACTTGTATACGGTAACTACAAATAATGCATCATTTGTTCCTCGTACGCGCGACAGAATTATCGATCGTTCGAAAGCAGATGTAACTTCTCGACGCGAGCGATGTCTCTCTGAATATTCGTGAAATACGTCGAAGCTTTTGCCTTTCGCGATTATCTCGTTTTGTTCGTCCATCACGTGCTCGTGAAACGCTCGCCGAATCTTTCTGCATGCGAAGAAGTAATGCGAAAATGCAAAAAGAAATAATAGTAACGAAGGGAGAAGGGAAAAAGAGGAGAATGAGCGAGAAGACAGACATTTAAAAAGTCCGAAGAGACGGAGAATTAGCAGCAACGGCATGGTGAACCATCGCCGGCCTTGCGACCTGAGCCAAGTGAGGGGGAACAAACGCGTTGTTATTGTTTTCAGCGAGCGTCACCGGCGGCAGCAATACGCAAAATTGAACGTGAGAGAGTAAAGCTAACGTAAAATAACGCAACAATAAATAAAAAAAGAAAAAAGAAGTAAAGGAAGAAGAAGAAGAAGGAGAAAGGGAGGGAGTGGAAGTGGAGAAAGAAGAAGAGGAAGCGGTGGCGGCTGAAGACGAAGGGCACGCGTGAAACGGTGGTTTTTCAGACGAAAAGGACGGATATAATAACGAAAATGATGTCGCGAGACGGAAATTGTGACGAGGCGTCGACGGGTTCTGCCAAAGTTCACGTAACGTCGGATCGATCGCGCGGGGCTCGCTCGATCGGTCGCGATCGCGGAGGACCCTGGGATTCATCGGCAAGGAGGAAGGATCGGGCGCATTGGCGGGAAGGATCGAGTAGCGCGACGTCAAGCCGAGCGGGAACGACGACGAGAGCCATCGCAACGACCACGAAATTTTCCTGTTACCCCTTGTAGTAGTTTTTTCGGATCGAGGATCAAGCGGAGGTCGTGACGGTCCACGCTGATGAACCGAGTTTGTCTCCTCTGTGTCTCGCTGAATGGACGAAGAGCGCGCGCGTTTACTGCGTTTCTTGTTCCGCGCAAAATTTCCATTATTATTATTATTATTACTTTCATTTTATTATCGTTATCATTATTAATTCCACAATCACGAGCACTATTGTCATCGGAGTCCCTGTTCGGGGGTTAATCGCGTTGTTCGCGTAATGACGACGCGGCAGGTGTCGATTTACCTTGTTCACTTGGATGATCGCGAAGCTAAGCTGCGTGTAAGTTCTTAAACATGAGTTCTCGCCGGACAGGTGACAATATTGAAGGTCTCTGTGGGGAGACTCATGTCCGACGACTTTTTCGAGAGGGGTCGAAAGTAGAGAGCGGGCGAAATTCCTTCGGTTCGATTCGATTTTCGCGGTTGATTGATGAGATGAAATACATCGCGCCTTCCTTCGTCCATCTTCGTTAATTAGCATAGGGAGAGAGAGAGAGAGAGAGAGAGAGAGAGAACGGGAGAGCGAAGGAGAGACGGTTGTTGTGCACGGAGAAACGGAGAGAGATTTGCTAGGAGAAAGAGGAGGAGAGAAAGAGAGAATTCGTGTTGTAGCAGCGACATATAATATATATATATATAAATATATATATAAATATATAGGATATATATATGTATAGACAGGGTGTTCGTAAAACCTCTCCGACGAAGGCAGTTGCTGGTAGCGCGCGACGCGTCCTCACGTGTATATCGAGCATTTACTTTATATAGACGTATATGTATATATATAAATTCACATACTGTAAATAATATATCATTTGTCCCTCATACTCTCGCGCGAGATAGGAATTATCGACCAACTCATAACGACGACCCGTCGAAGAGTATCACGCCATCTTTTTTTGTTCCCGTTGCATCCCCGCGCATCTTTCCAAAGGAGAACAAACCCGATCGAAGGGACTGAGAGGGGGAGGATAAAACCGAGAAACGAGAGAAAAAAGAAAGAGAGGGAGAGGGAGGGAGGAGAAAAGAAAGAGGGGGGAAAGAAACGAACGTGAAAAAAATAGACGTGAAAGAAACAGAAACCGCGGCGATCGCCTGCCTTCGTCGAAGACGGCGCACTGGAACGTTTCCGAGCAGCCTGTGTACAGAGAATTTTAAAGAATAATAAAGGGAAGAGCGCGCGCTCGAGAGAGAGAAAGAGAGGGGAAGCGGAGAAAGAGAATACGGTTAAGAAAGGCGCCCCGGTGCAGCGGGGCGACGCGGCTCTAGGTAACGTGTTTTAAGGCTTGAAGAAGAATTATCTACAGATGTTATGTATACATGTTAATAATAATGATTACGACGATGATAACGATACATTAAAAAAAAAAAATAATAATAATAATAATAAACGGCTAACACACGCGCGATCACCTTGATAACGACGACAAAGACAACGACGATGACGACGACTACGACGACGACAACGATGAGGGAGGGAGCTTTACCGTTTCGCGGACATGATCGTGCCGAGAAAGGGACGTGTATCCTATCCTACGCGAGTCGAGGATACCGGGACGCTTTATCCTCGATGATCCTCTTATCGTCCAACCGCGAGACAAAGCGTTGAGAGTGTATCGCGCAACAACACCGATCGATCGAACGTCGACGAGACCGTCGATCTCGTCGTTCCCCTCCCCCCATGTTCCCTTCCCTCTTCAGTTTGGTCGGTCCCGCTTGGTTTCGATGCTGCTGACACAGCAATAATTTCGTCAGATGAAACGACCATCCTTCTATCTGTAATCCCCTCCCCCTCTGCCCGCGATTATTCCTGCCGATTATCCCGCTCCGTCGCGCGAATGACAGGCGCCGTTTCGCCGACGACTTCCTAGTGCGTGGAAGGTACCGGAAGGGAAAAAAGAAAGAGAGAGCGTTATTTATTCCCAAAGAGGGGGAGAACTTTTCATCGTGTCGATCGGCAAAACGCTGGACGATTTCGCTTCTCGTTCTCGCGTTGATATTCGAGTTAGAAGAGGCGAGAGCCGAGGCGAAAGGAGAGGTGTCGATGTTAACTACCGAAATTTGCCGCGTCGTTTTGGCCGCAATTGTTAAATTGAACGGTGAGAACACTCATCGAGATACCCATCCCATCGAGTGACCGATATTGCGCATCTAATCGTGTAGCTAATCGTTGCGTTAATCGCGTGAGAAATGAAATTAATAATGTTGCCACCGTTCGGAGCGAGGGAGAGCGGCCGAATTGGTTTTACAATTTAACGCGAGTGAGTTGACCGATCGCGTGAGATTTTCGCGAGATTTTCCCGCCGCTGGGATGATAATCTGTGATGGGGGGATCATTGGGGACCACGACTGTCTGTCGGAGTCTCGCGGATAACCGGAGATCGGCCGATCGGCCAATGAGAAATTCTGGCGCGAAGTCGCGAAACGGCGGCCGCATACACAGTCCGCGAGTTATGATGTTTAAACGATCATTCTATGTTTACGAACTATAAACACATAGCTGTACGTCATATCTTAACCGTCGACGTATCCTTAATTATTAATAACGAATATGAACACATGATGATGATGATGATGCTTTGAACATTGTACAGTACCGAATAAAAAAAGAAATATACTGCGTAGTTGAGAGAATTGAAGTTGTGAGGAAGTGATGAAGGTTGGGGAATGACACGATTGTGGCTTCTCTGGTTTGCTTTTCTTACGGATTGGATCGTGAAGCTTTCGCTTCGATCGTATAAGGTCTCTTTTGTCTTTTCGCCGACACACCGTGTCGTTCACGTTTTCTGCTGTTGCTCGACAATGAAACGGAACACGTTCGTTTCGTTCGATCATTCATTATTATGAGTCATTAGCGCTACACGCGAGACAAAAGACCGGGAGGCTGCTTTGTTTTTTCTTTTTATTTCCGAAGAGAGACTCCTTGCTCGATCACGGCCGAACGAAAGTCACGCGATTAACGATCTTTCGAGAAATTACCCACGAACGAATGTATCGCAACGCGCCTTCCAGGAAGAGGATCATTATAAAGCCTAGTGTCCGTTTAAATCCAAGCAGGAGGTAAGAACAATAAATTTGCTATTGTATGCCGGTGTATCTACGTGATATATCTTTTACTTGGCTTCTCGCTCGTCGCGAAACTCTTGCTTCCATTCTCGTTCTTTTCTCTCGGTTCGCTTCGCGATCTGTGCACGGCCCTTGCGATCCGGCGATCGTCGGTCGATTTTTATAACGTTATACACATTTTTACGACGCGTTTCCCCTTAAAATCCGCGCGCGTTAAATTAAAGAGAAATTCCTACCGATACGACTCGATGATAGATTCAATTGTTGCGAGGCTACGCACTTCCTCGCGTTGTACACACACCGTTCTCGATTTACAGCTCTTTTTTTATATCATTTCCACGGTCACATAGATACGCGGATAGATATTGCTGTTATTAGAAACGTGAAAATTATACCGTATAGGCTCACGTTGCCCCGTGATTGTGCCGGAAGTAGAGGATCCAGTCAGTGATGTGTGTTTATGTGTCCAATTAAAAAGTCGCTACGCTATTATTTCACTTGTCTATTCGTGCAACTGTTCCGACTTGTCGTTAGTGTATAAATGGGTGCCGGGTGCGTGACGAGATTTGAAGTAAAAAACGCGACAATACCTAAACACTTATTACCTAACGGAAGATCGAGTCACTTCGAAAAGGGAGGAGGGAATGAGCGAGAGAGGGAGGGAGGGAGAGAGAGAGAGAGAGAGAATACTCTGTAATATAACAGCTGTTAAGAGAAAAAAAAAAGAGGCAACAACAAAACGAAGATACTAATACAACTTCTCGAGTGCGTTCTAGCGTTGTACACAACCTGTATATTTTTCATTTGTCCAAATTATATGTTTCTGTGTGTTAATCGTTATAAAAAAAAAAGTGTGGGAATAAAAAGTGTCAAGTACAACATCACTTTTGTACCGTAGATAGATAGTGACGACACAGCATCCTGCGATTCTCTCGGAAATGCGCGAGAGAGAAAGAAAGTCCGTCGATTTTCCGACAGAGAAGATCGAAAATCGCCTTCTCCTCGCGCGACCCGTTTTTTCTCGCGATTCCACGCGGACCCGGGGTCTCGACCCGGAGACCCTCCGTGCATTTGTCCCGTTGCAAGATCGCACATCTGTCCGCTCTCTCGTCCGATCCGCAGACGTTTTCCTTGACGAGTGTGACAAAAAAAATTCCGAGTCGTCCGCGTAATTGACAATCCAAGGTCGAATTTTCGGACGAGAAAGAAAGAAAGGAAAGAAAGACGAGAGAGGAGAAAGCGTCGTGTGCCGTTTCATTGCGAATTGACCCCCCCGCCCCCTCCCCCGCGAATTAATCAGCCTGACCGATCGTTGCCCCACCCAGATTAAGATATACTAATACGACTGACGCTTGAACATTTCAGTGAAATTCATGCCGGAATCGACGCCGACCCCGCCCGCGTACAGCGGCTATCCGCCGGGTGTGCTACCGGGTACGAATGTGCAGCCAGCCGCACCTGGCACAGCGACGGGCGGTGCGGCCGGTGGCGGTGCGGCTGGTGGCGGTGCGGCCGGTGGCCCGCCGCAAACCGCCGGAGCCGCGCTCGTCGCTACCGGCGACCTGCACGACGGTATACGCAGTGTCGCGTAAGCGCGACGGCCTGCTCGTCGTCGGGAGGAGAGCGAGAGAGCGAGGGAAAGAAAGAGAGAGAGAGAGAGAAAGGGGGAGGGAGAGAGAGGATGAAAGGGACCGACCCTGACAACGATGCGACGTTCTCGTCCGAAATCTTCGTAGGAAATCAAACTGTTCGACGCGCTTCGAACGCCGAGACTCGACTCCGGAATTCGCGATCGTATACCGAAGGGTTCGCTCGCGAGGATCATGAGAGGCGATCTCACGACCTGCGTTCTCTGGGGGTTGGGAGTGACTTCCTGCGCAACGGTAACGAGTTATTTCGCAGAATGAGTTACAATGATGAGTTACTTTCTTTTTTCCAACGGATAATGAGTTACGGTAACGAGTTATTTCTAGAAAAAACAAATATTTAACTCCCAACCCTACTTGTTCCTCAGGATTCGCGTCGCGGAATCGTACCCGAAGCGGGCTCTAGGAATCGCGGACGCCTCGTTGTATCATCGTTGCAGCGAACCGTTCGATCCACCCCCGCGCTCGCGCGCGTTCGATCGATTCAACGTCCCGTCAAAAAATTGCTCATATATAATTATACATAATTAGATATAATTATATGAAATTGAACATATAATTATATATGAAATAGCATGCATGAAATTTGTCCATATGTGAAAATATATAATTATATATGAAGGTGATGATGTAAAGAGAGTTATATATGATCATATATAAACATATATAATGAGTTACATGTGTGATTATGTATAAATGTACATCTTAGTATATAATTATATATATATATATATATATATATAATTATACATAATCATATATAATCATATATATTTATATATGGACATATTTTCTATACACAATTACGTATGAAAAATTTTTTAACGGGCCCGAATTATTTTCCTATCTTATGGTGTGTTTCGTAGTTCGATAGTTCTCTCCCAGTACCTCTCCCAGTATTCTCACCCACCGATTACCACCGTTTAATAATTGTGTAGCGCGCAGATTTCTCTTTCGGGATTACTATGTCGTAGAGCGATTAGAGTTTACTTTCACTGTGTGCATTTCACACTGAATCCGCATCCTCCCGCCGACTTCGTGTGTGTATGTGTGTGTGTGTGTGCGTGTGTGTATCACTCGCAAAGTCGAGCTTACGGGGCCTCGTTCGAGTGGAAGCGGCATATATCGACCGTTCTTTTCTTCGTTCGAGAAAAAGAAAGAAAGAGAGAGCATAAATATCTAGGCCACTAGAAGAAATCACCACGATGGAGGAGGGGCGGGCTTTTATTTCTGTTTCCGATGAAAGCGCGCGCGAGGGGCCCTTCTTCGATTCTGCTGAGCTGCTAATCGCTACGAGAAGGCAGCAACGCGAAGTACCGTTCACCGAGAGGATGCATGGCCATGCGCATCCGACCATCCAGATATATATATACATGTATATGTACATACATATTATTACGAATTGTCAATGTAAGAGATTAAATCTACACACGCGTACATATATATACATATATACATATAAATTATTCGTATGTTAAAGTATCGAATCAAAATGCGGAGGAGATAATAATATAGGCGATGGCCGATGAAGGGGTTGCGTTGAATATGGATACTGTGCGTGCTCACTTGCCAATGAAAGGGGACGAAAGAGAAGCGACGGAAATGCGACAATGTTCCGAGTGCAGGGCATCGCGTACAGGGTGTTCCGTGTAAGTGAACGTGTTTGTTTTCGCGCTCGCCTGCGCGCGAGGCATTGTTATCTCCGGCAACGTATGATTCTCGGATGGAATTGTTTCACTTTCGCGTTAAACAAACCCTCCACGTCATTCGGGATTGATACACATCGCTGTTACATCGGACGCGGAACGCGTGATTTGACGAAAATTATATATTCGGCTTGACTTCGTAAAACGGACACACGATTCGCGCTACACATCCCTTTGCACCGTTTAATTGTTATCAATACTACTTTATATATCGTATGTTAAGTCACTGAAAGAGCATATTGTTTCCTAAAGTAGTAGTCTTTATACTTCCAAGTATCACCTAAGAATTATCTATGTAAAATTCGGGGACGAACTTTCGGAAAGAAATAACAAACTTCTCACGTGAGGGCGGGAAAACTCGCGCTCCTTCGAGAACCAACTGAGAACAATTCGCGATTTAATTTATGAATGTACCATAGAAAGCGAATGAACTGTAGAAAGGATAATTATTGATTCCTACTACTGTATTTCGACGTAGTGGTCAATCATCGGATCGAATCTCTCGCGAGAGAATTGAGCCCTCTGAAGAAATATTAGCATAAAACAAATAACGATAATCGATTGGTATACTTTAATAATATTATGTTTATCGTAGCGCTCAGTATCATCGGTGCTCGTTATCATCGCTTGTGGCGAAATTTTCGGTTGATTGCGATGTATCTCTGCGAGAGAGAGAGAGAGAGAGAGAGAGAGGGAGAGAAAGAAATTCGAAACTAGCTGCTGTCTCTTGAGGAAACGAGAAACCAACGTATTAATCGTATTCTATTTAACGGAACACTGTGCTGCTACTTTCACTCGATATCAGGTCATAATATAGATTCGATAAGCTGTCTATACACCGATAATAACTATTAAAAAAAAAAAAGGAAGAACAAACTAAAAGATAGATTTGTAAGTTAGCCACTACAGAGAAATGCTTTGACACGTTAGGTGCTGTTGATACATTATTACGTACGAATAACAGAATTATAATTGCAGTATTCTCTCAGTTGTATATCTCACCGAAAGGAACAACAGATTGTATATCGAGAAATAATAGATGAATAAACTAGAGATATATTACTGTATATTATAGGCTTAAATATATAACGTTGTGAAAAATAATTGCACCTCTTCATTGCATAACGTTCGTGCGGTGTCTTTGATATACACATACATAATATTAACCTATTATATTGTTAAGTCTACAGTCAATATGTTTTAATTGTTTGTTGTGTATAGAATTCCAATGGATTCCAATAAGATGATAAAAGGAAGGAGAGGGAGAGGTCGATAGTACTTGAAAATAAAAACTCACCCGCTGTCGAATCGTGCTACTTGAAAATTAAAAGGAAACCTCTAACCAGCTGTTGAATCATACCACGACTTCATTCTTCATTAAAGACAATGGCGGTTTACAGCGTAGACACAATTAATAGACTATCTAACGCCATCTACCGGTATCGCGGAGAAATATGTTCCAGTTAGACCCGTTACAGCTAGATCCGTTCTATTATTTATTGTTATTATTTTACGTCAATGATGAATTACGACACGAATGATCAGCAGATAAATTTGGTCTCTATTCATATCAAGGAAAAGGGTCGAGTATACGATCGACCCTTTAAAGAAACGGGATGAATCGAACATCGACTTATCGGCCGTATATCGATCATCGCTACACCTATACTGACACGCCAATTGCGCCACAGCTTGCTGGAGCTCAGTCTCTCGTTCTTTGAGGATTCATAAACATGGCACCGGTAAGTTTGCGCTCCACCAAGGAAGCCGCGATTATCTGCGAATACGGCAGAATCCCTTCGAAATAATATTAAAATCAGAAAGAGCATATGCGATTTGTCAATTGTGCAATAACGATTTCCTTATTTTATCCTGGGATCGGTCTGATTGTGTCGGATTTTCATGTCTTTTTCGAAGCATCGCGTGGCCCCGTATGTGTTCCGTACAGAAATGGTAAACGTAACATCGTCGTGTAAAACATTCTGTTCGCGAATTTGTAGCAGCCGAAGAAAGCCAAGGGTCCCGCTAAGAAGCAAGTCCTTCGAGGCAAGGGACAAAAGAAGAAGGTATCCGTGAAATTTACGATTGACTGCACTCATCCCGTTGAGGATAATATCATGGATGTAGCCAATTTCGTAAGTTGCACGGCATCTTAGCGTACATTATAATATTTCTCTTTTATGACACGGGAACATTGCAATAATATGTATCTATCATCACGTGCCGTATCTATCTACATAACCTCTTGAATTCATAACCTATACGTACAGCCATATCATAAATATTAGCCTATTTAAATTTAAAGCAGCGATTGTTATGAATTATGATGACTAATCAAATTTTAGTATCACATCGTTGTTGTTAAGACTAATAATTGCAATGTATCGATTTTCAGGAAAAATACCTGCACGAAAGAATCAAAGTTAATGGTAAGACTGGTAACTTTGGTAACAATGTTACGTTGGAACGTAACAAGATGAAACTCTCCGTCAACAGCGATGTTGATTTCTCAAAGCGGTGAGTGGCATCGTTTTTCTTTAATTAATTATAAATTGGACCATAAAAACTAAAGCTGATATTCAGTTAAATCTTATATTTAAGGCTGTTTTAAGTTCACCTTCAGATGCTTCATAGTTAACGAAATAAGCTGCACAGCATCTAAAGATGAACGATTAAGACGGTCTTAAATATAAGATCCAATTAGGAACATTGGCCTGAGTTTTGTAGAAATTAGCTTAATTCAGATAGAAGATAATTTGAGGCTCTTATTATTTCATAATATAATAGTAAATAACTTTTACTAAATAAATAAACTGAATTAAAAGAGGTAAGATATTTTAAAATTATTAATTTCAGTTATTCTGAGAATCTCTGAGGCTCTTCTGTCTGTTACAAAATTCTATTCTGTCCTGTTCTATTCATTCTATCCTGATGAAGGTTATGTTAGGCAACTCCGGTTGCTAATATAAGTTACAGAAAGAGCAATATTTGCACTAATTTGGAAAACTGTGTTTCAATAGGTACCTCAAGTACTTGACGAAGAAGTACTTGAAGAAGAACAAATTGCGTGACTGGTTGAGAGTAGTATCTAAAGACAAAGACACGTATGAACTACGGTACTTCCAGATTAACAGCCAGGAAGATGACGATGAGGAGGATGCCGAGTAAACTTTTTTTATTCTTTTGATATTCGGTTTCAGAGGTATCTGTAAATAAATGCATCAATAAAGAAACGAAATCAAGTATTTTTCTTTCTAGTTCTATGTCTGCTTCAAAGATGAAAATTATTCATAATCTCATTCCATATCAAATTATAACATTCATATTTGTGCGTGATACAAGTATACATGTGTCATATTCCTCAATTAGTATGTTGTGATCAACCTTTGTACTGCAAACGTTTCGAAGTAGATTTATGATTCACTTATCGGCAATTGTATCAACATGGTTAATCACGGTTTAATTAGAGATGAATCTGGAGAAAGTTGTTCGAATAACGTCGCATAATTTAAAAAACGCAACGATTGCATAATTCGTCGACACAATTGGTCTAAATTTAGAGATCATCTAACAGTAAAGACCAATAATCACTGATCGCTCGTGTCCTGTGAACGCAACTGAAGTTCAGGTGCGTCACGAATTGCACCCTATCTGCACCATCGACGGTTATTCCCGTCTCTCCCTAAGTGCACTTTGTTACACCATTACCCAAGTGAAACAAGTGGTTGTTCACGGTTTCCTAGAAAAAGTGCCAACAGGTCACTAGAGCGAAAGTCTCAGTCGAAAGTAAGCTCCCTTCGAGTTCGGTTCCATCGTTCGTCGCGAAAGATTCTCAAAAATTCATGTCACGTCCGGCGGAACTACTTTCTGCGCGGCGGAGGAACTCGTGTGGCGCAGAACGCCGCGCGAGTGCGCAGTCACAGTGACGCACGACGATTGTTGTGACAGAAGTGTCCCCGAGAGAGTGTCGTGTCGTCGCGTCTGGCCGTGTCGTCGCCTCTGTTCGTCCAATCAAGCTCGCTCGGGAAGAGAGAGTAAGTCGTCGGATCGCGAGGATACACGATCGAGACGAGGAACGTCAGTGTCGTCGTACTGCTGTCCCCTGGCAAGCGGGGATCATGAAGTTTCAGTACAAGGAAGAGCATCCATTCGAGAAACGGAAGGCTGAGGGCGAAAAGATACGACGGAAATACCCGGATCGCGTGCCTGTGAGTACACACGACGAGTTCCTCGCACCATCTTCGTCGTCGATATTCGCACGACTGTTAATAACCGAATCTTACGTCCTCTCTCTCTCGTGCTAAGAATTTTCTAGACGACGAACGGGCGATCCGATCGCGCTTTCGCAAGGGGTTCCCCAGCCCGACGGGGACCAAGGTCGTCTTAATTGCGCGCCGTCGCGCTCTAACCCGCGTTTCTCGATGACGAAGCACGATTTCTCAACGGGACGCCTGTCGCGACGAAATTACGCCTTTTCGCGCGGCCCTTTTTTTCGTCGACCCTCCTCCCCGCGCCGTATTGATCCATTACGTGTGTGTAACACGATGAACTGCCGTGCGTGCTCGCGCTGCCACCCGCGCGAAACGAATCGTCGGATCGGCCTCGGTGGTAGATTACGATAAACAAAGGTGGTTCACCGTCTCGTCGCTGCCTCACCAGCTGTCCGAGCTATTGCGCCACATTTGGTAAAGATTGCGACTTATCGGGAGATCCTTTCTTCTCGCTGCCTGCTTTTACCTTTCGCGGCCGACGCCGAATTTACTCTTGAACTTTCCACTTCCGCGGGAAGTTTGAAGAAACCGTCATTCCGTTATCGCGCGACAATTTCGCCGTCGAGGTACGTGCGGATTTTTTTTTTATCCGCCTCCGAACGATTGTTAACGCGGATGAAACATGACGAAACGAGGGAGTGAAATTGTGCAGATCGCATAGCGTACACGATAAGCGACCATGTGACGGCGGTTTTAGGGAGGAGGGGGGAGGGTGGCAGGGGGAGGAGGAACGTGTGCGATCAAGGTAGACTCGAGCGCACACGGGCCCTGTTATTCAACGATTGGACGAGATTCAAAGCTCGGCTTTTCGAGTTTCAAAGCACCGGATACCAGGTGCGTATTTTGCAGTACACACTCCGGTTCCGGCAACGTGCCAAAGGTTATAAACCCGATTCGGTTCACCGACAAAACGCGCGAATCTCCAACGTTCGGTCGGATTGACGATTTCGTCGGTCACAGGAAGTATCGAAAATACAGGCGTGTTGTAAATGCTGTTGTAGGTGATAGTTGAGAAGGCACCTAAGGCAAAGATCAGCGATCTCGATAAACAAAAGTACCTGGTACCATCCGACCTCACCGTCGGTCAGTTTTACTTCCTAATCCGCAAGAGGATTCATTTACGTCCCGAGGACGCTTTATTCTTCTTCGTCAACAACATCATTCCTCCAACGAGCGCCACTATGGGTTCTCTCTATGCGGTAATTGAGACAAATGATCTTATGCGAGCTACGTACATTGAGTAAGACCGCTCGGTCTTTATTGTCAATCACTTACGCATGATTCTTATCGGAATTTCACCAGGAACATCACGAGGAAGATTTCTTCCTATATATAGCCTACAGCGATGAAAATGTGTACGGTAACTAAATCTACTTGGACGAGCGAGATTGCCAAAACAGAAAGAAAGGATTCAGCAGCGAAAATCGACCATCTCTCAACGTAGTCCTCATAGAAGCGCTTTCGAAAAGTGTATACAAAATTACATCTATCAAAATACACTATGTGTAAAAATTTATGTCTCGACGCTGCACCCTACATTTGCTTCTACAAAAAAAAAACAACTGTCTACATAACTGTCTCTTAACGATAACAAAAAAAAGCGGTGTCACTTCTCGATTCCATTCTTTCTTTGCCACCTGAGAGGGCATAGGTCACTATAGGATTGTAAGAATGACTAATTGATGCAAAATTATGTGATGAGTGTGTAATAACTTAGTAATTGAGAGAGCCGTTGGCCATTGAGAAAAAATCGAAAAAAATGAAAAAAAAAGTCTTTGTATTACCAAATCATGCTGATACTTGCTGTTCATTTATATACGTTACGTTTTAATGCACATTATGGTCGTAATGGGCAGATCATGTTCATTCTTTACTAGAAATTTGGAATATTTTATAGACGAACCAGGTACCAGAATAATGATATACACGACAAATATCGTTCTCTTCGATTTAGGCTAGCGTTATTCTTTTACATTAATGTATTATTTGGTCACGAGGGGGAAAAAGTAACGAAGGCGAATTGTTGGATATGCAAGCAGAGAGAAAAATTTTCTGTAACGGCTGGATGTAAGGCCAATAAAAAAAAGTTAAAACATGATCGACCGTCGACCGAGTATGCCATTTCTCCACCTTCTTCTTTTTGTTCGTAGAGATACCTCCTTCTTGGTCTTACCGTCCGTTAATCCCTTCCCTCTGACAGAAGACCGCCAGCTTGATCGGTTGCTGACAGACGCGACATATCTATTCCGATATCGCAGTCAGACTTGTTTTGTCCGTACATCCTGAATTGTTAACTTGTTTGTCGCGAGCGAATACTCCGTGTCTCGCGTGTGTGACGACGAGGAGCGGCCAGGTTTCGGCAGTCGACTCGCTTCTGCCGATCGTGCGGGTTTGGACACCATGGAAGTGAACGGTTCCGAGAGAAACGGGACAAATACCACCGACGTCAGATACATCAGTCCGATGTACAATCTCGGCCAGGAGGACAGCAACTGGATCGTCACTAGCTCCTTCATGATCTTTACGATGCAAACAGGTAACACGCTGAAAATAGCAACAACGCGCGACGATCACTGATCTCGTTTCATTTCGTCAGAGTGTTAAAACGATTCGTACGTGACGCATCGTACATTCTGCAACCCCATCCACCTGCAGTCCTCTCACACTGATCTCCGACAGGTTTCGGCATGCTGGAGTCCGGTTGCGTCTCCCTGAAAAACGAGGTCAATATCATGATGAAGAACGTGGTCGATATTGTACTTGGCGGGCTGACCTACTGGTTCTTCGGATTCGGATTCAGTTTCGGTTTGAAGGAGCCCAGCAACCCCTTCGTCGGCAGCGGAGGTCTCTTCATAGATCCTCCAATCGACGACGAGTACATGGGGGCGATCTGCGCCGCGTTCCTCTTCCAGTTGAGCTTCGCCACCACCTCGACGACCATCGTCAGCGGTGCCATGGCCGAACGGTAATTGACCACGCGGCTGACGACGTCGACGCGGCCGGGAAAGCCCGATCGGCCCTCGGTGAAAGCCGGTGATTTCGTTTCCAGGTGTAACTTCAAGGCCTACTGCATCTTCTCGTTCCTCAACACCATCGTGTACTGCCTGCCAGCCGGCTGGGTCTGGGGTGACCACGGTTTCCTGAATCAGCTGGGTGTCGTCGATATCGCTGGCTCCGGACCGGTCCACCTGGTCGGCGGTATTTCGGGTAATTCTTGCTTCTCATGAGAGGCGAGGACTGATCGATTGATTCATCGCGATCGATCGGCGATTCGCGTGACGAAAGTACGTCGATTCACCCCGCTGTTCGGTTTGCCCGCAGCGCTCGCCTGCGCCATCATGCTCGGACCCAGAATAGGCCGATACGACAACGGGATCGATCCTCTGCCACTTGGATGCCCGGTCAACGCGATTATGGGACTGTTTGTGCTATGGTAAAGAGAGCGTAATCCGAGCGAATTTCCGCGGATATGCGACGAGAGAGAGAGAGAGAGAGGGAAACGAGATCGTGTGAGGGCGACGGTGTATAAATTGTAAATCTCAGGTGGGGCTGGCTGGCCTTCAACAGCGGCAGTACTTACGGGGTGACCGGCGAACGATGGCAATACGCCGCCCGCGCGGCCGTCTCCACGATGATGGGTAGCATGGGGGGCGGCCTGGTCGGTCTGGGATTCAGCCTAACGAATCCGAACGGGATCGACATTCTCAGCCAGATAAACGGCATCCTGGGCGCGTTGGTGGCGATTACTGGTACATACCTGAGCGAATACCTGAGCGGAGGCAAGGTAAACGATTCCGACGCGATTTTCTAAGAACTCATCGCCACCCACGTTGCGCTAGGTGGCTGCTTCCTGTACAGAGCCTGGGAATCGGTGGTCGTCGGGATGATAGGCGGCTTCATCACGTGCGTCGCGATGCCGGCGTTCGATAAGATTCATATCGACGATCCTGTGGGAGCCGCCGCCACTCACGGTACGCAATTGTAATTGCTGAGCAATTACCGCTCTTTCGGAAGCAAATATCGGGATTAATTAAGGTAGTTCGCCGGTCAAGTCATCTTCTTATGAATTCTTTTAAAGCTGGGATTCATCAGTCGGATCTTATATATATATATATATATATAAGACCGTTTTAAGTTCGTCTTCAGGTTCTGTACGGTTCATTTCATTGGTTGCGAAACGTCGGAGGGTGAACTTGAGACGACCTTAAATATAAGATCTGACTTATGAATATCGGCCTAAGTGTCAGCTGCATATCGACGGAAATACTATCTACACGCAGAACTGCCAGATGGTGGGATTTCTGGATCGTAATATACAATAACGATAATAATATATTGTATAAAATAATTATCTAACGTTCGTGTAAGATACGAAACATACGACAGAAGCCAAAATGGCAAATGAAGATCACTCAAATTTATTAAATTCTGACACAAAAGTACAAGATACGAAACGTCTCGATCTTACTTTAAGTTTTCTTCAATCGTAATACAAAAAAACACTATAAATCATATCATGAATTCGCTCCAAAGACACACACCTGCTTTGACGATCACCACAGCAATTTTTGATGAAAATCTTCTCGGGGTTGGTTCAATCAAGCTTTACCTGCAACTTTAGCTTCTGTAGTATTTCACATGACTGTGAATCTGAAAAGCTTTTTATTATACATTTGAATTATTTAATATTAATCAGATATCCATATTTCGTCCAATGAGTAGCCGTTCCCCATGCTTCCGTAACATCAATAACCAAAAATGAAATTAAATCAAACGCGTACGAAACAAAAATTACGCATGATTGCGTCGCACGAGTTCGTGTACGAAAATAAAACGTTGAGTGCCAAAACGCCAAGTAAGTTTTTCATCGTCGCGAACGGCTATTTATATCTAAACAATGGTGCATAAACAATGTGCGTACAACACGTGTGAGATATGTGATAGGAGCGATGGCGACATGGAAATAATGTTAATAATCGTGCTCGCGCGATAATGGGCGCGATAATGTAACCACGTGTTAAATACAGGCGTAACTGGCATTTGGGGAGTCATAGCTATCGGCTTATTCGCAGACGACCCGTATCCCCTCGACACCACCGGTGGCCGAAAGGGCTTGTTCAAGGGTTCGTATACGACGATAATCGCACGAATTTGTCCCCGGATCGTTTCGTCTCTCTTCACCGACTCTTTCGTGAATTCTCAGGAGGCGGCTGGTATCTCCTGGGAGTGCAGAGCTTGTCCGCTCTGTGTCTATCAATTTGGAGCTTCTGCAGTTCGATCGTCCTATTATGGGTAACTTGTGTGGACTTAGATTGCTACTTACATCTCAAGGGAGATATCAAATGCGCAAGAAGCATCCGATCTTTTGCAGATCATAGACAAGGTCATACCGATTAGGATGTCGGTCCACGAAGAGGTACTCGGAGCGGATCTCGTGGAACACAGCATACGTCATACAAAGGTGTGAATTTTCTCTTCGCAACATTTCATCCTTCGGGTTCTCAATTTCCCCCGATTTTGCCTTTCTAATTCTTCAATTTTGATCATTACTTCCGATTCGATTCGGACGCGTGTACGTTTGCAGATAGGTCTCAGTCGCGCCATGTCGGCGTTTCGGCCATTCTCCATGGAGAACAGACTGAAGGAAGTACCTGCCGTGGGAGGCAATCCAGGTGAGACGAGATTATCTCCGCCTATCGAATCAAGCCACCTAATCGTAACTGGCGACGCGTATTTCTATCACAGGTCACGATTCGTTCGTTACTCAGCTGCAGCTCAAGAAGCTCGAAAATTTCGCCAAATCCGCTAAGCGACAGCCGTCGAAGAAGCTGGTGCCGAGAAACTCTCAGATCAGAACGATCGCCGATCTGGACTCCGAGTTGTCCACGGAGCGGAAGTCACCGTTCGCCTGGGTGGACTAGAGACGAAGCGGGGGTACGAGGGGGAGGAAGAAAGTCCCAACGAGATTTATATTAATACTCAGTCGGATGTAAATTTATTACAAATGTATAAACGTATACACGTGCACGTTTTAGATATTCCAATTCTCACGCATTCACGCCAATAAATAGTGATCATACACACCCACACACACCCACACACACATACATATACAGAGATAAATGGATATGATAAATAGGATCACGGGAAAATTAAATTTTTACACGTTACAGTCTGTGGCACACGGGCGTTGTTTCAGTTAAATAGCTAATCATCCGTGGCACTCAACGACAAAGTGCCTATGTTGATATACATCATTCATAGGAAATAAATGTTTCCATAAATATTTATGCATTCTCTATCGGTGGTTTTACATGCCGAGAACGATTACACCGGACGTTCTACTTCGTATATATGTATATCAGCAGGAACTGTCCCTGACGACCACAGTTAATACATATTCACAAAATACCGTTTCCTTTTACGTCAGACACTTTGCACTAGCAGAATTAAGAATATTTACAATTTATTTTATTATATATGTTTTCACGTCGGTCGGAACGATCTTCTGTTCTGAATAGCGTGGACGTTTTCAAGACCTATGGCGAACTCTCGCAGACTCAATAATTACTGTAGAACGTAAACTGGATATACGTATGGGAAAATGGAAGATTCGTAAGCACTTTTGAAATGTATAAGACTATATAGTATCACACGTTTCTTGGAGGGCATGTTATTTCGTTTTTATGGCGGTCTCGTTAATTAAAAAACATGAATATACGCGTGACGGGCACGCAAAATATGCGATTACGTTCAACGTAGAAATAATGTACTTGAATGAGATTAGTACACTGTTTTTTTTTTCTTTTTCCTCTTCCATTCTACTATACTAAGCTACCTCGCGTCTATCGATATGATAGAAAACATTTCAATATTTAAATTTGCTTTACAAGAACGTCGTCTAAGATAGAAAAAACTTACTGTGTAACTTTGTGGAACACAATAGGTTGGGTGTACGTGGACTCGCGAGCACACCGTTATTATATACTGCTCGCCGCCCACTGAGAAACTTCCGTGGGAAGACCCGGGTAATTTTTCACAGCCTCCATAACTTGCTTCGATGTCAACGTAAATTTATAATATTGATACTCCTTTTCGACTCTCATATTCGAATGTCCAACTGGCAGCAAGATCTCCAGGTTCTAGAGAATGCATATGATTACTCAGATTTGATCCACGTATATTCTTAATGAGAAAAAGTGATCTTTCTCTTCTCATTAAAGTATCTCTTACCTTGATATGCTCGAAAGCTTTCATGATCACCGGCTTCTGGACAGATTGTATGGAGGAATTCTGATTTGCGAATTTGATGTAACGATTGTAAATCATTTCGAAATTCAACGGCTCGTCGTCGAAAATTTCTGTTTCTTGTTTCATTGCTATGATCTAAAAAAAAAAAAGATATTTTCTTATCGTCAAACGTATATCGACTGTATCCAAATTTGAAAAAGTTATTTTCGAAAAATAACCTATTACTGTTGTCGTTACACATTTTAGGGAATAATTTGTTCACGTTACCACTAGAGATAACACAAGAAATAACTAGTCATCACACTTTCTGTTATCTTACTAATGAAAATAAAAGTTACGCAGTTTCCAAGCCGTTGATGAAAGCAAATTATCTCGGTAATAATTACGTCTTATTTCCCGACCGTTGATCGTATATCGCGCGATACCGCAGCTGATGTACCTACCAAACACATTTCTAAAATGGATAATCCCTCGAGCATCAGCACTTTGTCGTCCTGCGAAAAGATCTTACTCGCCTCCACGAAATCGTTCACCTCCAACTTCTGATGTTTCTCGGATAACGTTGAGACCGCGACCGCGAGGAAATTCCTAAAGCGCCTTTCGCTCACGTCGATATGATACATCCTCTTCAGCAGGTTCACCATCGTAACGTTAGTAGTTAGACTCTTGATGTACTCGTTCCACATAGACCCGAATTGCGGATCTATCGTGCAATCGTCGTATTGCTGTTCGATTTTATTTACATTCTCGTCGTCGGGTAAGCTTAGAAGATGCTGAAAGAGCTCCAGCCGATCGTCGAATGCGGACGCGGGTTGCTCCGTGGATGACGTGTCGCCGGGCAACAGGAATATCTGACGATACGAGAATCGCGATTTCACTCGCTTCTCCAACAACTCTATAACGTCTAATCTACAAGTTATCCCTAACACGCATATCGGAACCTGCAACACGAATGTTTCATATTTACATTTGCGTGTAATTCTTGTTATATCAAATTTGTAACTTTCCTCAGAATAACATTCAGACATTTACCTGTGCCGACTGAGCAACGTCAAACAGATTGTACAACAGCGTCTGATTGTGATGCTCGCAAAACAAATCGAATTCGTCAAGTATGAAGATGACCGGCTTGGAGAGTTTCTTGTCGCCAGATTTCAAACACTCCAAAAGAAAGCACAGATTCTCCGCGAACGTGCCGAAAACCTTATCGCCGACCACATTCTCCAATTGCATCTGACGAGTCGTATCTTTCAGCGCCAGCCGGTCGTCGGTGTGAACCAATCCATGGAGATTCACTATCAGAGCGTTGTCCTTAAAGCTCTTCAAAGCCGACAATTCCTTCAAGACGCTATTAACAAGCTGAAATTATACAAGTTGTCAGTATCAATCATATATATATTGATATTTTACATGAAGAATGTAAACAAGAGATTATACCATTGTTTTCCCACTACCTCTGGGCCCAATTAACAACGCGGAGTTACTTTCGCCCATTTCGACGGTACGCTTCACCAATTCCAACACGTGCAGCCGCTCCTTAACGTGATGTCTAAATTTAGTCTCGGGACACATTATTTTACGTTTCAGGTATTTTCGTGTGAGCAGTATCATGTTGTCCTGAAAGTCGATAGCCATATTTTTCTTCTTACTCATGCTCTCCTACTTGATGCACAATCTGCTATTAAAGTGGAAGACCTGTAAATAATTGGGTTTATTAAAAAAAAAAAAAAACTCCCTAATAAAGGTATGCCCTTAAAGCATTTTATAAATCAATGAGAATCAAGTATAAACTCTTGTAACACACAAAATGTTTCTTCAGATTGTCTCATTATTCCGATATCACGTTAATCCCACTTTTTACAGACGTTTTTTAATTGTGTTAATACTATAAATAAGATAATTATATATTTTTTTTTACTTGTACCCGAGAGAACTCGGGATATACGATATTTATAAATATACAGCATATATTCAATGCGGTAGAAAACATAACCCATCTGTGAGAAAGCAAAAAATCAATGACTGGAAAAATGTAATTTTTGTATGAACTCAGACAGACCTTTAGGATGAAATGTTCGATCGATTATTCGGCCACGGTGTCGCGTGCCGTAACGCGAGAAATAATACTGCTCAGGTGGTGAAAAAATAATCACTGGCCGAACAGACGCTGGTGGACGGTGTTTACGAAACAAACATGGATGACGACGCAGTACAGCCGCCGGAGAAGAAGAACTGCACTTTTCTATTTAAAAGGCGCAAAAACCGGAGCAACGCTACGAGGAAACGGAAAGGAGCGGACGGCGGCGACGGTAAGCCGTTATAACAAATATCGATTCGGATGTGAGCTACTTATAGACGTCGCGCTTCAATTAGACAGATTTGCTCGGGCAGCGATTATAGGTTAGGTTGTCGCGAATAAACATGCCGTGTTGCGGATCAATGATTTCGTTGTAATTTCTCCGCAGACAGCAGCGAGGATGAGACCACGGTGGTTAAGAAAGAGAAGAGGCAGGACGAGCACAATCCTATGATACAAAGTGTGGGTATTTCGCGATATACATAATCATATATCACCTAACCTGTTACTCGTCACATTTACACTTATTTGACGTAAAATTAGGATATGTAACATCTGACATTTTTCAACGTGTCTATTGTTTCCACAGACAAACGTGAAGAAGCAACAAGAGAAAACTAGTTATAATAACGACAGTGAAGATGACAGCATAACTGTTTCCTACAAGAGCAGCAGAACCACTCTGCCAGCTGGTCCGAGTGACCAAGGAGCAACAGCTATTCTGGAAACAGAAACGGAGAAAGACAGAGATGCTCAGGCACTGTTTGAAAAAGCTCAAAAGATAAATGAGGTATATTTTGAATAAATGACATCAGGTATATTGATTGAATATAGACTCGATTTCTTGAAGAAGCAACATTGGGACAACATTCATTCTTGCTTATCAGGAATTAGAGGGAAAGGAGGATGACAAGATCTACAGAGGTTTGAATAATTATGTACAATATTATAAGAAGAAAGATACAGCAGCAGGAAATGCGTCCAGCGGGATGGTGCGTAAAGGACCAATCAGAGCACCTTCTAATCTTAGAGCGACAGTGAGATGGGATTATCAGCCTGACATATGTAAAGATTACAAAGAAACTGGTTTCTGTGGTTTTGGAGGTACACGACATAGCATAATTTAATTACTTTTCCAAAGAAAAATTCTTCAAATCTTTAAAATCAGTGTTATAATATAAATGCTCGATATTTTTTGTCACACAGATAGCTGTAAGTTTCTTCACGACCGTTCGGATTACAAATTGGGATGGCAATTAGAGAGAGAGGCCGCAAGCGGAGAATACGACAGTGGGGATGAGGATGATAAAAAATACGAGATCGATAGCGACGAAGACAACTTGCCGTTCAAGTGTTTTATTTGTCGGGACAGTTTTACAGATCCGGTTGTCACAAAGTTTGTGTCGCCAACAAAGTATTCTCGGTCTCTCGCTCTCTCTATAGCGTTCATGATTAATGAGCCAATTCGCTGTTTGTTTCAGGTGCAAGCATTATTTTTGCGAAAAGTGTGCTTTGGAGCAATATAAAAAAAGCACACGATGTTACATATGCAACACCCAGACTAATGGCACTTTTAATCCAGCGAAAGAACTTATCGCACGGACCAAACTGGAGGATAAAGAGAAGATGAATGCAACAAGCGACGACTCCGATGATGATTGACAAAAAACAATATAATCCCAGTCTTCATGTATAGATACAGTGATTCTGTTTTTATACGCGCGATTTATCGACGAATGATGGTATAAATATTGTAATAACTTTAGCACACTGCGAATTTATCACATAGGCCGCTATTCATAGTCAAATCTTGTATTTAAAACCGCCTTAAATTCATCTTCAGACGCATCCGTAGCCAACGAAACGTCACGTACAGAATCTGAAGATAAACTCAAGACAATCTTAAATATAAGACCTGACCATGAATACCGGCCATGGATCGCCTCGAGAGCGGATCACCGACAATATTAGAGCTTAGAGTAGCAATTGAGTTTATGTATTGATATCAATTAATAAAAATTGTATCAATATTAATTTAACAATTTAATCATTAACCCGTCAGTTTCCAATGCACCCTCCAGGTGGCACAATATTTTTGACTTATAAACCATTGAAATAACACTGCTAACCTATAACATAGCTCTAAGTGTTCAGTTTAGATACTAGTGACTCTAAAACAAGTTGTTAACACTGAATAAAAGCGATACATAAGCGAGAAAACCTTCCAAAACCTAAGATTTTGAAAAACTCAAAACCTATAAATTTCGTTTCCTTAGGTTCCAAAACATGAGATTTCCTAAAAGGAAACAGAAATTTGTGGTTTCAATTCATTTGGAAACTGACGAGATAATACATCGAGAATTAAGTTAGCGAATGTCGCACGAGTAGAGTGAGAGGTTACATTTACCAAGGTATCGAATGTATTTCAAAGTACCTAAAGCCAACAAGCCTTGTTCGTGACTTACCACTTAAACGGCTCGTTGTAGATATCTGCGGATTTGGAACTATAACGCATTCTTAGAACTATCTTATTGCGGAGTAAGATACCTCGCATACCTATCATACGTCGAAGTGAGACTTTCTAGTTGTAACAATCGAATTTTAAAGATTCCGCCTTCGCTCAGGTGAAACAATTGTTAGTCAAATTGGTAAGACATTACACGATGAGAGAACTTCGAAGGCTTCTTGTTGAGACGTGCACCGGGGTTCATGCCATTACGATTTCGCCCAGGAAGTTAGTTTTACCAAAAAGCCTTTTCCCAAATATGTCTCTCGAATCATCCTAACGATTTAATCAAGTCCGAAGGTGCGTGTTGCAGATCGAGCGAGGCTCGACCGCCGGGTTGCAGCGCGACAGGCGAGAAAGTCTCGCGCACGCTGGATCTTCGCCGCCGCAGCTAGCCGCGCCCGCCGCGAGGTGGCGCGGCGTCCGATTGATCAGCCCGCGAGCTAGATTGCTCGCTCGCAGCTATATAGGAGCACTCCGTAGAAGCGCTCGGAGCCAGTAGAGCCAGGTAGTTCGGTCCTACCATGGCACCTGCCTCCTGAGCCTTTTTTTTTTTTTGGAGAAGACTGTTCTCGTCTCTGATAGCACTCTGTTCGGCAGAACAGTGAGCGTGTACGGGCTGCGATTTTTCCAAATTGTGTGTCTTTCTGTTCCTTGAGTAAACCCCTTTCCACGGTAACTGCCGTCCGGTCGCTACGACTCCGTGCTAGCACGAAGTTTGGCAACTCGTCTCTAGGGCACGGGGGTACTCCGGGATCTCCAATATCTATTCTCTCGGGGTTGAGACTTTCGGAGTCTCCTCCTAATTGGTACCCATTGAATGGGGTCTTATCACTACCGGTCTTGACCATTAAGCCCAATATTGTAACATTTTATATCCTAGAATATTAAAGAAATTATTATTACTTATATTCCTCCAATTTAACAAGAAAACTTCGTCTATCTCGACCTTTTCGCTACGACGGGCGGCGACTATAGTCGCTTTCCATAAGACGCCATATGCATCATACGACAGGCGACTGTAGTCGCTCGCCATCAAATCACAAATTTATGCGTAGGTTGCATTGAAGATACAGAAGAAGGCGATGGAACGGCAAGAGAAAAAAAGGTGTTATAACAGTAAGGATGAGATGAAAACGTGGGTGGCTCAAGAATTGGAAGTGTTAATGGCCATGATAGACGCGNTTAATGGCGACGATAGACGCGAACTTGTCTCTTGAAAAACTGATGCAAGACAGAGCCGCCTTGTCTTATCAGTTGGAGCAATTGAAAAAAAGCAACAATCCCAATGAAGAGGGAGTGTGCAACTCTTGCAATGTTAATAGATTTGCGTGATACGCAAATCGCCGATCTTCAGAAAGAAATTGTCGAGTCAGACCAAGATTAACAGTCTACTCTAAATATAAGTGTGGTTTATCACTCACAGATTGCTTTTTCAGAAACCAGAGCAAGTACAAGATGGAACAGAATTCACAACGTTGCGGACGCCAAGGTCATATATCAAACGACATTTCATCTGGTCGCACAAGAAAGGAAGCAACAATGTTACAAATTTAACGAACTCAAAGTTAGTACATGTGTGACCCAGCCTCCGTCGATCGGTGGACGTTCGTCCCGGCCGACGGGGTGGTCGTTTCGGTTTCGCTGGTCGACCGTGTTTCGGTGTCGGTAGCCCTGGCGTAGCTCGCCGGATGTCCAGGGGTCTTTGTAGTGCGAGTGTGCGAGCGTGTGAGTGGATGAGTGAGTGAGTGAGTGAGTGAACGAATGATCGAATGCGCGTGGAAATAATAAGCGGTTTATTAAATTATTCCACGTGGTTTACTACAAGTCGATCTTGTCGACGGGCCGTGCTTTAATCTCGGTGGTTCACACCAGTAATATTCGGATGACAATATTGACGGACGGAATCCCGTGTTTACGTGGTGACGTCGGCTTGGTTGTTGTTATTTCCCGGAATCTATCGGGAGCAGTCGCGACACGCTCGGCCCGTGGAGCTCGCGGTGTTGGCGGTGAGCGGGCGCGGTATTGATGTCTTGGCGCGATGTGTTGACGGTTCGCGGTGTTTAAATTTGACGGTCTCGCATCGGAGTGCAACGGCGGAATGCACCTGCTCGACTCAGCGTCGTGGCACGCGGCTCGCGGTGATTGCCGCACGCAGAGTGCCCGCGTCGGTCGACCCCCGGAGCGGAGGACACGCGCTATCGTGCCTCCTTACAGGAACAGTGGAGTCGGCCGGGCGAGCCTAGCCAACGTGCAGCCGGCGGCGGTCGGTTCGCGGCGATCGGTGGTACCTACGGTGAGGTTCGGCGGAGAGACACGCGTTGTCCCTATATTCGCGGCGCGGTATGCGGAACGATATTCCGGGGCGTTCGCATGCCCCGGAGACGCAGAGCCCAACGACTAGAGTNCCGCGTACGCACGACCTCGGACTTTCCGGATGACAGGATGTCGATTCGGCTGCGAACTCACAGCAGCGACGGCGTACGCACCATCGCGGTCTCTCGACCTGGGGATCGGGATCCGGAGCAGCTTGTGATCTTGCGATCCCGGCTGACTCCAGCGGAGTCTGGTCTCGATGGTACGGCGGAGCGGTCTTTTATACCGCTAAACCGCGGTTTTTCCGACACGTGCCTCACAACAACAACAAATGTTGTTACCTACATGAGCACGTGTTGGTTGCGTGTTCCGCGTGTGGATTTGTTTATTGGCGCTTAGCGCCGTTTCGCGGCCGACGGATGGTCGGTCGGCCGCGGTGTTCGCCGGAGGGGATGCATCGTTACACATGTACGTCACTATATATAGATACAAAATTATATATGTTATTTACACTATACTATATGTGCACTTGTGTATGATGTGGATTGATAATTAAAACGACTAATAAAGTTCGACGAGCGCGATCATCCCGCGCGTCTCCACCGTTTCGGCAGAACTGAATCGGCGCTCGCTCCTACGCCCCTCTGAGCGTTTGAAACACTGCATAAGTAAAAGATGCAATTTACCTTTAGCCCCTTATGTTAACGGCGAACGCTGCCGCCATTTTCCTCTTGAAGACGATCTCCTGTTTATTGTGCTGCATTTTCAAGCGTACCATTTCGAAAGCACGCTTGCGATCTTGAATCTTTAATTTGTTGATTTCTTTTTCCCGGGGCTGTTTCCACTTTGTAAAATTGTTCGCATTGTTGCGCATCTGTCTAACGAGTTTGACTCTGGCTTCCTTCAACGATTGTACCTTAAGGACAAATATTCGGAGTACAAATTAGTTCGGTCCGTTTTTTTGTGGTCAAAAATGCATTTATTTCAGAACAAAATTAATGAGAACAGATTAATCAAAGTATTGTTCATCGCTAGCTACTACTTTTTCCCACCTTTCAGGCAATTTTCGAATTCCATCTCGAAAAAATGTCTCGTTTTTTGAGGCGATCCAAATTAGGAGCCAATTTTCGATTTCTGCGAAAGAAGTGAATCGGTGACTTGCCAAATCGTGCTGCATCCGTTGGAACAACCAGTAATCAGAAGGAGAAATGTCCGACGAATACGGCGGGTGCAGTAAAATATCCCACTTGAGCGTTTCCAAATAATTTTTTACGACTTTTGCGACATGAGGCCGAGCGTTATCATGCAGTTTCCACTGCCAGTTATACCATATGTGAATAAAAGACCGTTCCTTCCCTGAACAAGATTTTCAACAAGAGGAAGAGCAACCGTCTTGAATATTTCCTTTTGTGTTACATCAGGCATGAATATATGACTGAATGTTGTTCGTATCTCCTTGTTCGTGGTCCTAAAATTAGTTGCTGATTCTAGCGGCGTTCTGACTACTGTTGTGCTGGATGTAGGCTTCATGCATGACACATCTGACGACTGCATTAGCCGTAGACGACAATAAATCTGCACAGGATCCTTGGACGACATATTGAACCCTTTCGATCGATTGACTGGCTTACGTGCTGATGTTTTCGAACGTCTAAAATGTATAAATGAAAAATGTATTTATTTCACAATGCAACGGTGCACATTTGTACCGAATTTTTACATTTCGTAAAATACAGGAAAATATTCAAGGTCAAATATTCAAAATATTCAAGGGTATATTCAATGTCGTCGGTTGTTGATCGGCATCCCGCTCGAATAAATAAAACTAATTTTTACAATACTTACGCGGACTACTTCATTTTGCTGCAAATCCAATTACTTTTCTATCGAACAAACATTTTTGTGCCAGCGAAAATACTTCTCAAATTATAATGATTTATAACACCTCAATCGCCCGCAGCAGAAAGTCGTTGATCTTTCGAATCAAAACTCCATCTAACACGTTGACTGCCGGGCCGAAAGTATGTGCTACACACATTTAAGTAATATTTACTTAACACGTTAGCTGCCGGTCACATTCAAGTAAAATTTACTTAACACATTAGCTGCCGGTCACGTGAGGATGTGTTGATAGTGCCCCGCCGAATGCGTGACTGGCTACTGATACGTTACCCCACACCCCGTGCTGGCGCGTGATTGGCTCTGTAGCGTTGACGCCATATCACGCACTGGCGCGGGATCGGCAGCGAAAGTGTTAAAGATGGAATAATTCTGTTCTTTCGATTTAATTCCAGTTACCAATGTTATCTAAAGAAATGCATAATAGCTTACCTGGTAAATTTATGTTTTCGTTCGAACCCTCGAGTTCTTCCTTCATGTTGATAAACTACAAGTGTCACACTTAGATTAGAAGTATCGCAATTGTGTTCAACGGTTTATAATTATTGATAACATTACACTAAAGCAACTTATCACGCATCTTCCGATGAGATAATTACATTCTATCAGGCAATCATTAAAGCCACCAAGACGTACCATTAAATAATGAAATTAGTTACCCAAATATAATTGTCGTCAGCCTGCAAAATAGACAACAATTCTATATATGTATATTAGCGTTTGACTAAACGATGAAACAAGAGTAGTCGATACATCTGTCCATGAACCTGCACTATGAATATATTTAGGACAGATCAGGTGTTTATATAGCGAGCAATCTCTAACCTAACCTAACAAAAAGTATCTGTCGCCATCTTCTGAGCAGTACAGAAAGTTGAACAGGTAAAAAGAAAACCGCGGTTATTTCAAATGTAGTTAAGACAATATTCAGCGGTAACTGAAACAGTATTTATTGAAAAAAATTCTGTAACATTGTTTTAATAATAAAATATACATTGTTACATGGCATGAGTAGAATTAAATAGTCCAAATGACTATTACAGTCAGACTTCAGTATGATTCTTTTGATGATTGTTTATGATCAGTGCATGAGATATGGAGGCATTTGTAGAGTTTAGTATAAAATTCTCTTCTAGATTCTACGCAAACTTAAACGGGATTGGGCGGCATAAGCATCATTCCGTTGCATTCCAAGGCTATCTTGATGCCTATTACGAAAAATCCTATGTTTTTCACCGCTGACCTGTTGATAAAAAAAAAAGATTATAATATGAAACAAGTACGTTATAATATCGTGTAATAGATGGAATTTATTTAATACGTTCCGTGCCGGACTAATTTGATGTAACTTGTACACGTCGCGTGGGCTTCCACGATGTTCTATTATGAGCCAAATTCTATTGGTTAAATAATAATGTTTCGTAATAATTAATAAAAAATATGTCATAATTATATGTCGTTTTAGAGCCAAAGTGTCAAACTGAACGAAAAGTTTAACACAGGTTATCGGTAATTCGAGCGTCACGGAACGTACTAATACAGAACATCCAGTCACATGGTAATCATTTTTACAAAAACGTTTAACTAACTACACCGACAATATTCGTAGTCCTCGCAAAACGGTTAAAGGTGGGTGAACGATCAACTCTCTCGAACTGTACTTCGGCGCTTCTCCTCTTACGTTCGACCACGTCTCTCGCGGGAAAGTGTCGAGTTTGTACGATAAACACCGTGGACCAATAAAGGCACCGATATGCGTATCTTTCGCGTGACCACCATTATGCGCTTCTATTTTGTATTCATCTAGCTTAGTCTCCGTCGCATGCATATTTATAGCTAGCAGTTTTCAGGTCAAGAACAATTTATGTACTCAGACAGAGAGAGAGAGAGAGACCATGATAGTACGATCTTCATTCCTTAAAAAATAAAATTATTATCGGGTGTCACACACACACACACACGCGCAGAAGCCCGCGCGCGCCGGTCAGAGCGAACGTGCCACCTCGTAGCAGCGGTCGGGCGTCGCGACGCGCGAATCGATACGCGCGCAGGCGGCGTCGGTGCGTGGCGGCACAACCGCGCGTTCTTTCTCCCCGTACGTACTGCGTGCCGTGAAAATGTCACCGGGGCGATCGCTTTTCACGAGCTGCCGGCAAGCATACGCGGTGTCCTCGCGGCCGTGGCGCGATATAGGGTCGTCGCAAGATTAAAAAGCGGCGCGACGTTTCCTCCGTCTCGCGTTCGGCGGAGCGCGAATCATCGCGTTCTCTCCGCTGTCGCCGCATCGATCCCCCCGACAACCCCGGAAGGACACGCGAACCGAACGCCACGGGGGAGAATCTCCTGGTCCGAATCGCGTGAACAAACGCGGAATTAGTGTTGAGTCTGAAATCCGTGCGCGTGTATGTGTGTGTAGGGTGTGCGGGGGTGTGCGGGTGACACGGTGATCCGCACCGCGCAGGATTTAACGCGAGATTACGCGAACGACCGGTGACGGCCGCGCTGGTTGTCGTAGGTCCCGGTTGTCGTGACACTTCCGACAGAGAGAAAGATTATCGAGAGACATATCAAGATATAATACCGTCGGAGAAATAATCGTTTCTCTCTTTTATCCTTTCTCTATCCCTCTCTCTCGCTTGCTCGCTCGCTCTTGCCCTCTGCGAAGAATCGCTCGCGACATTCGTTGATACGCGTCCTCCTTATGTTATGTAAATATCCCGAAAGATTAAGTGCCGACTGCGCGGAGAGGCTGTGACGATAGGCGAAGTCGCGTCAGTCGCGAAGTTCGCCGCGGCGGCGGGGATTCTTGGGCGACAAAATTCTCGAGCGGAGCCGTTATGCAAAATTATGCGTAGCTCGCGCGTTCGATTGGCCGTGCTCATGCTCCTATCGGCGACGTGCGCGTGTAAGGAAGAAGCCAAAGAAGCCGTGACGAGCGAGCTCGACGAGCGGCACCGACGAACGGCGGCCGTCGGCGAAGAAACGTCGCCAGGTGCTGAATAAAACACGACCGACGGTGTCATCCCGAAGTGTTCGTGCGCGCCGTGGAGGAAGAAGTTATCGTCGCCCGCCTCCTCACGGCGATGCTCTCGATCGATAGCCCGGCCGCCACGATCCACGAGTGTCGTCGACGACGTTAATCGACCAGAGAGCGTCCGACCGCCGGCCGGATTTATTCTGCAACGCTAGAAACCGCGGAACAGAGACACATCATCATCGGGAAGGTGCAGTATTTCACGGCGACTCCCTATCAACCAGGTATGTGATTTACCGCGTGACGCGATAAGGACCACGATAAGCGGCTCTAATGGCATTAATTTACGCGCGAGCGCGTAACGACCCGCGCGCTCTGTATTTGTCCTCGTCGGCCGCGCCTCCTTCTCAGTGTGTCACTGCCGCGGTGTGCGCGATTTAATCGAATCTCGAGCGTGAAAAGTGCGCGAGGAATATCCGTAGTTTCGAGGTTTGCGAGGAGAGAAACCGTTCTCACACCCGTTTCCCCCGCGAATTTCTATTCGGTTTCTATATTCCGAGGACGGGGAAATTCGTCTGGGAAAATTCACGTATGTTCGCTTAAAACACGTCGCATTTACTTCTTTCCGTAAAGCACATGAAAGAGCAAAATGTCCGCGGAAAAATGAGTTTTTCCGAAAGTTTTGGAGCTGTGCCACACAAAAAACAGTCTTAATTAAATCAATAATAAGTACTTCTATATATATATATATATATATACAAAATCATCTTAATATTCTTAAATGATTTTTTATCTTGAATTGAGAGCAAAAGATACTCTCATCAATACAAATTTAGTCAAATCACGATTAAAAATCCCATAAGAAAATTGCAATGATTATAATATTCTTATTTATATATGTAAGAATATCCATCATTGATTTAAGACTAATTTTTTTCAGGAAAATCCCAGCTGTCGGGTTTTTTCTCTCTCTCTCTCTCTCTCTCTCTCTCCTTTGTCCCAAGTTTTCGACCATTGCATCCGGCCGCGTGTTATTGTTAATTTTACGCGAGCGCGCACCGTGGCGTATTTTCGGCGCGGCTTCTCGGCACGATAATTGCCGCAGAACTCTCGCGATGCGCCCAAGAATAAGCTTCTTTATAAATTGCACGTCGCGGTTCCCTCTGTTACACGCCGCTCGTTTGGTTCGTGTCCGTCGGCCGCACGCTTGTCCATGGACGTCGCGTCGGTCCCCCATGTGCGGCACGTACGTAGGTACGTGGCTACGTATGCGGCGTAACGGCCGAATATGATGGTAACAAGCGTGCGGCTGCCCCGTTAAAACGTGGACCAAGCTGAACTATTATTAGATTTGAATACGCTTAGATATCGCGTGTACACTCCTTGAATTTCTTGAAGTGAAATCTCGCTCGAAATGCGGAGTGGCCGTCGAGTCTCTTGAATTCGAGTGACTTTCCTCTCGCATGAAGTGCATTTCTCCACTCTGAATCATCGAGCGAGGTGTGCGAGTCAAGTATTTGCACGGTCGAATTGGATCTTTGACAATACGTTCGAAGTCGAATCGTATCTCTTTAATTCGGGTGCGAATCGAATTCGAATCCCAAAAGATTTCTCGGGATTTACGTTATATGCTAGTCTGAATATGTGAAAATAAGGTACTTTTAACGATATTAAGAAAGAATTTTCAAATGTGTAAAAGCATTAACCACTGCGTAGTTTTGAGGAAATCTCCCATCAAGGAAAATGCTGCGCTAAGTGCTGGAAAATTTATAATGGATGTCAGACAAGGAGTGTGCAGAGCTTATGAACGGATAGATGCACATATATATATATATATATATATATATATATATAATCATATTTTACAAGAGCTGGGAAATATGTGCACGGTATATCTGAAAAATTATGGAATTAATTCTTTTTAATTTTCCTTGCAAGCCATGTAGCATTTTCAAACTACATGTTTTCTTGGCAAGGTATCTATATTTTATAATCAGAACCACATCAAATTATTTAGCAAAAGAACACTTTACGCGCGCAATATTTTGTTGAAAATAAAAAAATGAGTTTAAGGAACTAGTTTTTAATTTCAATGGCCTTTTATTGTTTATCATTTTCCGACATAAATGAAGCAATCGAAAGACGTGACTGATTCGAAATTAACGAATCTGGAACTTTCAAATTCGAAAACGAACTTGAATCGAAACAACGATGATTCGACTCGAATTCAAATGATTCGCACATCTCTACCATCGGGTGAATATTTTCACCTCAAATTAAAGAATGAATCTGAAATATATACGTCATGTATGCCTTACTAAACCTTAGGTCGAACATCACACGATTTCTAGTCTTACACATATACATGTAATGATGAAAATTATATAGTTAGAGCCATTATATATAACTGTATCATCATAATTAAAATCATTTCCGCGATTTTCGACCTTATGTATAAATACTTAAAATCCCTCTATTTGATGAATAGTAAAGCATACAGTCAGCCATAGAATGGTTGCAACAATTTTTTTTTTTTTACATCGGAACATACAAAAGATACGTTGAAGCAAACTATGATTCATAAACGATGCGCAGTAGATGGCCAAACAGCTGTCAAAATTAGAAATGTATACGTCAAATTTACTACACATGTATATGCAAAATTAGATATGTATATGTAATTTTGACAGTTGTCCGGCCATCTACTGCACATCGTTTGTGAATCATAGCTTCGTCTCGTTATATCTTTTGTGTTCCAAAGCATGTAAAAAAAAGAAACAACTGTTGCAATCGCCCTGTGATCGAATGTGAGTGCATAACGCCACCGTGTGCATTCT